GTCCAACATCCCATTCTGTTTTAGAGGAGGAGGTGGGGGCATTTATTCTTCTGCCTGGTTCATGTCTCTTTGTCACCAAAGACAAAGGAGCAAAAGATGCATTAATAAAGCCATGTGGTTTAAGTGATTGTGCATCTATGTTCAGATATTGACTTCACTCACTTTTCCGTTTGCTGCTGACTTTAACTGATTATATCTGCTTATCAAAGTTTTGGTAATCTTACCACGCTGCAAATTATATTTTATTTTTTAACGTCTTTTTCTGGATAGAAATATAATAATTTAGTTGGAGATATGTATCATAGAAAAATATATTCTAATTAAACTCCTAAATATTTTAACTGCAATAGAAAATCAATCCCGCATTGGCTTACCACCGATGATTGTTTTTATACATGAAAATGCAAAGACTATCTTTTAATATGTTCATTTAATGTAACTATTTCCCTTGACATTCGTCAAACCATGTGGGAGCGAGACCGGACCATTAGTGTCCTACTTGCCCTCGTTCATTTAGGAGCTAGAGGAAGACCAATTTTATTTTTATTTTTATGTTGCCAGGCGTCATGTGGTGTATCTGCACATAGTGGCGGATCTCTGTACCTGTAAGCCCAGTGGGAGCTTGTTAAAGCTGCCTCATTAGAAACTGAATGCAAGTTCAGAATAGCTATAGTCAAATTCATCCTTCCCTAATAATGGCGACAAAAGGACGAGCAAATATTGGTGGTTGCTAAACAGCTATTCCTTTAGAATATTAGATAAAGCAACAGTCATTCCGGATTTATTAGAATTAATCACGATTTGCTTGAAATTGCAAAATGTACTAGTAAACCACACTGAGGTGAGTGATGATTTAGATGATACTCGGAGGCACAGGCGGTTTATTGTGTTACTCTACTTTTCTTGAGCAGGGCTTTTTTGCTGACGTAAAGTAGTAGATTTATATTTTTCATTGGCTTTTAGCAGATGAGGCAGCTTTCCTTATCTTTAAAGATCAAGACAAAGCTTGAGTTACAACCTTACAGAACCGTACAGGGAGACGATCACCACAACATGTAATTGCCGCTCCCTCTCGCTAAACAAGGGGCCCGATTGAGCCTAGTGCAAGTTTCTTGATTGAAAAATATATTTTCTACGGCGTCATCTCACAAAATGAATAATCCAGAAGTTGTACATTAAGCGGGCTCGTCAATCAAGCTTACATATAGGATCGAATGCCATTTAGGGGTCCAGTTATTACTTTGTGAGGCTCGGACTAATTTAAGACCTAGATAGTATGAATCAGTGGATGTCTACATGGTGAAAGCAAAATGTGGACAGACAGCTTGTTGAAATTGTTGGCTATTTGAAAGGTCATACATGGAGATTCACAGAGGGAGTCACAAATATGACATTGATGATATCACTTTTATATATCAATGGCACACCATACGGTAGCCAAAATACGTCAAACGTGCCATCATCAGCAGAAGGCTAATGATTTAACTGAGTAATGTAAACATCTTTTTTAATTACATTACAAAAGGTGCAATTAATTTCCCCCATAGCTTCATAGGCCGGTTTACATAGCAAACAGTGTCTGTTTGCTTGTGGAGAACAACGGGTGACTGTGTTGTTGCACCATGCAGATACATTATGGCAATCTTCTTTTTACAGATGGCAACTCAAACTGTTTGATGGTCTGGGAAACAATTAAGCTTCACAATCGCTATTAGAGATAGAAGGAGATAGTCTACTGCTATGGCTAATGGGGTGGTCTCTTGCTGTCATAATGGTATTTACCACACGCTGCAACAGGGCCGATGTTAAGCTGAGGCTCTGTGAAGCTTTACACTTATTCTTAGCTTGACACGATGCACATGAGTGAACATAAGGATGTTTGCTTTAGCGTATACTGCTCAAATACCACTGGGCCTTTAGCCTTATTTTTTTTACATTTTTGAAAACCTGCTACACATCTTTATCTCATCTCATCATATCGTATCCAACACATTTTTTTAAACTTTTCTTTCAAAAAAAATATTTTTACACAAATGACAATTTTCTGACCTGACATATTTAGACTAATTTCTAAAATCATTCCTATTATCTACTTCTTTTTACATAATGTATATCAACTTATTTTTTTTAATCATTTTCCGACCTCATTTTTTCAAACTTTTTTCCTCCATAATTTTTTATTTTTATTTTTTACATTTTTTGACCAAACGAATTTGCTTTCGTTAGGCCTTTTTTTAAAACATTTGGATTTTTTCCATATTTTCCAAAACATTGACACATTTTTAACTTTTTTTTTTTTTCACATCTTGTGATTTTTCTTTCGGAAGAATATTTGACCGTTTAAAAAAAAAAAAGATTGATATTTTTTAAAACTTTTTTTCAAGCTATTTTAAAAATGTTTGCTGACAGTAACTGATTACCTATCTTGTAATACCGCTTGTAAATCAAGAGGCAATAGTGAGTAACCGCTGCCTGTTACATTTTTACATTGGCCTTTTTTAATGCTTGAATATGTTTGTGTCATTTATTGGAATTTTTTCTATTTATTTGGTCAATAGCTGATTAGGCCCTTTAACAAAACATTATCCACACATGGCAATCAAACTCCAACAACTATGTGACTCATCCCAAAGGGATGCGGGTCTTCTAAGCCTTCTTGCTCCTCACTCCCATAAATAATTAATTTTGCACAGCACGGAAAATGCATACCAATTAGCCAGGTTTATTTTTTCTAACAGTGAAATATCAGCGGGTCTCTCTTCATGACAGCCTGAGGATCGTAATGAAACAGAGCATTATTTAGCATTTCTGGACATGACTGCTAAGACTGCAAGGCCTCGTTCTATTCCATTAAAGGAAATAAAAAAAACAAGAGAAAGTCAGGCAGGTGTCAATAATTCTGTTTCATTTGAGCAGGGATATCTTTTCTTGTACTTGGTGAGGATTGATTCCAAGTTTGTTGAAATGGTAATAATAATAATTCAAATCTTACAAGGATAATTTACTGTACTCTATATAGTGTCTCTGCAATGATATGGACAGGTCAAGCAGCTTTGATGGACTGGATATATTAAGTTAAACAAAAAAAATATATATATGTATATATATATATATATATATATATATATATATATATATATGAGAATATATATATATATATATATATATTTTTTTTTTTTACTTGTTTACTTTGTGGTATTTCTTTAAATGGAGGGCTCATATAGGAACCAAGACCTTGGAATACTCCATCAAGGTTCAAGGGCAGCAGAACCAAAACAATACTTAATAATACAAGAGTAGCGTTACATTTAACACTTTACTTTAATCAAAGTGGTACCTGCAGACATTCTGCAAAACGGGGGTTTAACCTGTGAGCTTCTGTGAGCAATGAACACCACAAGCTGCCCCCGTTGCTTGGTTACTGTGCTTGCAGGGAATCCAGACTGATGGCCTTGGGCTGCTGGATTCAAATTAGCTCAATTGAACACAATTTGAGACTTTGCAAATAAAGAATTTGATATTTAATGTGTCCAAGTCAGTCAAAGGAAGACAAACATTGTGTAATTTTGCAATTCCGGCTGGTGTAATAAGGTACCGTGAATATATTTTTCACTTTTGGTCTCAATCAAATCTCTCATCTTTTTATGAATAATATCGCACCAATTAAACTAAAACCTACTAAAATGTTAATAGGGCAAAACATAAAATCATGAAATATGATTTTAATTCCTACAGAGACAAGAGTGACAAGCATGGTGACGTGCTTTGGGGTAGTTGATGCTACCGAATGTGTCCGACCATGTGAACCTGCGACATATTCTTGCCGTACTTTTCATTTAGTCAAGAGGTGAATGATACAATGAAGGCTTGTAACTCATTGAGCCTGATAACGAAGTGGTCCTTGGATTAGACTGGTTAACACCACTCACATGATATTGTATTGCAAATATATGTTTATGTTTGCAAATAAATATGTGTTTCTTCCTCCGGTTAACATGGTTCTTTCATTTGCCCTTTTGCACAATTATGCTCTTGGTTTGTTTCATTAGGTTTTAATAATGGGTGACTGTGGCGTCAAACGAAGACCATGAACAAAGTTTTACAGTGGCCCACTGCTCCTAAAAGCTTGGAATAGGTCAAATTGTATATATGTAGACAATACGAAAAGTTAGTTTCTGCTTTTGAAAAGGGGATTTTAACAGCTTGTGTCGGGAGTAAGGGGGTAACGATTCATTTTAACAACGATTCAATTCGAATCCCGATTCATGGTTGCCGATTCGATTCATGGACGATCTGGGTTCATTTAGAACGATTCGATTCGATTCTATTGAGTGACTTGAAATCGATTCAGTAACTTTACTGGACAGTGCAGGCAAAGATTCAGAGATCCCTGTTGTTTCTTGTAAGGAAATCAGGTTTAAATTAATTATGGATATTATAAACAAGCAAACAACAATTAATGGCAAATGTATTAACCTTTTATTGTGCAACCATTTTCAATGTAAACATTACACAATAATTACACAATGTTTGGATCAATTCACAGGACCCTGGATTATCGATTCAGTGAATGAATAGTTACACCCCCAGTCGGGAGTAAGGTGACTGTAACGTGTTGTCGTTACAGTCACGTTGTCGGTTTAACTTTTTCTCATGGAACTGATTCATAGTCGAGTTTTACATTTGTCACACTCAAGAGTCCCCAGGAAAAAGAAGGCTATGCTGAAGACTAGCCCAACCTGCATTGTGTCGAGACAATGGAGAAAAACTGGAACGCACCATTCTTTCTGTGGTTGTGGTTGGTTGTTGTGGTTGCTATATGAAAAGTTTCTAATACTGCAAACATACAAATAAATAAAATAAATTCTATCATGAGTGGGCCATAGGCTGAATTCTTACCGTTTTACTTTCTTCGGATTTTGTAAATAACAGAAATCGAGTTCCTGTCCAGTGTAAACAGTGCGCACACAAACACACACACGATGACACAGAAGCAGATGTTATGTTTGATAAGACTTCATTGTGTTTCATAGATTGCAATCCAATACAAACATGAACATAAACAACTACAAAACAACCTGCATTAGAGCTACTTAGACTATTATCATTTTAAGATAAAAAATAAAAAACACTAAATATTTGAAGACAAAATGAACAAAAAAGGACTCCACTTAAAGCATTGGTATTAAAATGAGCCCAGGAGGAACAGAGTAGTGCGAGTATTTCTATTACTTGTATTTGAAATATGTATTTTAATTTGTTACGTATATTTTTATTTGATTGGGCCGATAAAATAGTGAGTAATTTTGTATTTAAAATACTCAAAATAATTTTTCCATCGATTAACAAACGGTTCACGAGTTCAGATCTGTAAATATTTTATCGGAGTGTGACAGATGTCTACTAGCTCGATGAATAATTTATGTCTGGGTCTGGCTACATAGCCTATTGTATATACATGGTGACGGTTATAATACCATATCATATTTTGCTTGTGTGCTGCTATTCATATGTGATGAATATTTTCTTGTTGATAGAAAAGTTTTTGTGTCGTTGAGTCCCATCATTGAAAACATATATGAATTGATTTAGTTGTTTAATAGCTTTGCTTATTTACCCTGAAATTCTGTGACTGTCCTTTTTGTGGGGTTCTAACCCCACATTATAACTTGTATGCCCTGCTATACCAAATTTAAGAATCCTAGTTTGTTAACATAAATAAATCCCACCCCCATCTTGTTCTTTGGCAATCACCATCTTGGCTTCTTACATCCAGAAGCCACACAAATTTAAGCAAAGTACAATTGAATGCTGAATAAAAGCGCATGGCGGCCAAAATGGTTACGCTAAACTGAAAATATACTGAATGCTTTTATTTGCTTCACTACTCCTTCTTGACCGCATGCGATAGTAAAACCGTATGTCAAACACATTTGCTCCGGATTAATTCAGCAGTTTTGCAAAGGAAACAAAAAGGCGGATGGAAGGAAGCTTTAACCCTGCTTGTTAGGGGCTTTCAGTTGTCTCTCTTTCTGACGGTAGTGGAAGAGGCTGGTAGCGTCGAGTTTACCCGCATGCTGGATTGCTTCTGCAAACAGCTTCACTACCTGAGCACACGCAGAAAACCAGAGTTTACCGGCGCCGCCAGACAAAGCGGTAAATATAATGCTCGTGGAGACGTCAGATCAAGTGAGTTTCCTCCTCCTCCCTGCTGGTGTGACATTTACTCACCTGAAAGTTGGTAATGAGGGGAACACTGTGGTCCACGGCCATCCTGCGGATGAGGAAGTTATCGTTCACATGCCGCGTGTTGTTATTGGGCAGGTTGACCACCAGGTCAATATGTCCCTCGCTGACTAGCCTGTGAAAACATGCAGTGTCGCAGTGGTGAGAATACAAGACAATACACTTAAATAAACCGTTTCCGGTCATATCAGTTGTTGATTCCATCAAGAATGAAGCCTCATTTCTGCAGCGCTTTGCAGAATTTAGTCACTCTGAGCCAGTTGTTTGGGTTCTGCAGTACACACAGGGCCGACTGAATGAGCTTGTCTAAGCAAACTAGCTCATCTGGACAGCACAAAATAACAACTACAAACTGTCTTACTCTCACACACACCTGGCTGGGTTGCCTTTTTCATTTGAAGGCCTTTGACAGGCAAGCTGATGTCTAAAAGAAAGTGAGGGCATTCAACAGTCTAAACAAAAAGGTCATGTTCTTCTCTATAAAGAGCTGGACTCTATGTCACCTGGCACAGCTGACACCTCCAAGCCAGCCATGTGTGTGTGTGTTGTTGTTTTGGTCTAGACTTATTCTCCTCACATCCTGTTCTTCACAAGCTCATTTCCAAACAAAGCGCCCAGATGGCTTCAGTGTAGCATGATCATGACTTGATTTTGGAATCATTACCTGCAAATTGCAGCCTGCTACAAATCAATCTAGAACATTTTAACAACTGAACAGTGACTGGAAGAAATGCATAGCTTGGGATCATTATTGATCCTCAGCTGCACTTTGTATATTCACACTATTGAGTTGACGTCGCTCTGACAATACTTCATCTTTCCTATTTAAGATTTAATTCCCAGTCTGCTACATCTTTTTTGATTCGATTTTTTTAGCATACTCCTGAGAAAATCAGGGTGCTATACCCTTAGATATTAAGCCAGCATCAGATTAGATATCAGATTTTGAATTTATTCAAGACTTAAGCACTGCCTCAGGAAACCTAAGCAAGCCTCATCTTGGGAGTTTTGGATCAGAATTTCCCTTCAGCTTTCTCCATTATCAATGTAGCCTTGAACGTTTCAAAAGAATTAAAACATCAATCAAGTGTTCAAAATGAATATTTCCCAACCTCTTAATACTGGGCAGACTGGTTTCATCTCCTTTATCAGAGGGCCAAGCAACGGGAGAAGCAGGCACGTCATTGGCGCACAGCCAGGCGGAAGTGGCTTCGGTAGCAAAGAGCTATGGGAATATATCCAGATACATCATATGCAGGATTATCCATCAACTGGAGTTAAAAATCAAGAAGGGAAATAAGATCGAGACATTCAAGCTTTAAAATATGCACCTTGAATCCTTCCTCTTTCAGCTGGTGGGCTGTAGCCAGGAAATTGGGTCGGAAAGAATGCTAAAAGGGAAGGAAACAAAAAGAAAATGCAGCATTGACCCTTTAGCTAAATAAACAATATGCTTGCTAAAGTTACTGCTGCCTCTAAAAACCAGTGCGATGTGGTTTGATGGGTTTATTCTGCAGCCTACTGTACTGAGCCTTATATGACATGACGGTTTGCAATTCTGACACAGCCTCTGTAATGGTCCCAAAAAGGTACGGTTGAATAAAAAAGGCAAACAATAACAATTGGAGAGTTTGACAGACCGAGGCAATGCATGTTTGTTCAACAGAACTAGTTTCGTCAAAGCAATTCCCTATTTGTCAAGCTTTTCTGGCTCAAAGCCAGCAGTCTGTGTTGAAATAACAATCGCATCAACTTGGGGAATGAGGAGGGTGGCTAAAATCTGTCAAAGTACGACTGAATAAAATATCACTTATTTTTTAGTTCTAATAACTTGAAAATCAGTTCTTTTTTGACGACAGTAGCATTCATTTGGAGTCTGGTAGCTCAACAAATGCACGTCCACTAATCACACTCCGTTTAGCGCTGCGCAAACTCCTCCGAGCAGCGAGACGCTGCGTCGTGATCCCCAGCAAGTTGCTAATTGGTGCTTAGCATTCTGTGGGCTTCTGGAGGTTTTGTATTTTTACGCAGCCGCCTGTTGCTCCTGGAAACGAGGCTGATGAGAACATGCCAATTAGCTGACGCACAACAAAAATCTAGGTTGAGCAGAGAGGGACTGCTGAGTCCGGCAATAATACTGTGTGTTAGTCACTATGTGGGGCCCCCTCTTCCCTCCATCCCGAAACAATCACATATATAAAAAATAAAAACACATTGAGCGGCTCTAATGTCCTCAACCAATTCTACTTTAATTGCCATGCGTTCACCGCTATACATGCTGCATTTATGAAGAGCTACAGTTTCAGATTAGAAAAATGTAAAGGCAGGATCAAGCCAATTGTGGAAGCTGAATTTTAGCGCTCCTGCGTGTCTAAAAACAAATGGGTTTTCTTATCCAACTTGCAACTCTGCTGGAAATGAAGTTAGCTAATTTTCTATTACCCCACTGGTAGAGGAGGTGAATACTAATAGCTGGGGTACATTGGTCACCAACTACAACAATGAGCTGTCTATTATTCCTTCCACTCACTTTGAAGTGTTAACAAAACCAATGCTCGATAGACTACAAACCGTGGCTTAGCAATGACTGTACTTTTACAGCAGCAGAGACAAATAAACTATGAATACATTACACTGATACTTAAGCAGCACCCGCAAATAGTGTGTTTTTAACTTGAATATCCTGCAGAGGTGGCTACGCAATAGTCAGTTGGCAGAGTAATAAAATACTAAAACTAGGAAAACTGCAAACTGCCAACAGTGCAAGAATGTCCCCATTCAAACATCCACCTGTGTGGAGCTGTGGAATTTACTGCCCCCTCAAGCTAAAGTCCACAGCCCTTTTCACCAAGAAACAAGAAGTAAAACATCTGCCTACAAAGCCCGAACTAGTGGTGGTAAATCACATCTGTGTTGCCCTGGGCTACTGTCCGTTAAGTGAACCTATTCCCCAAGAGCACCGATTATACAGCCAATATTGGGAGTGCTTTGTTACCACTGTAAGTCAAACCTGCGGTCTGGCAACCCATAATGGCTGCAACAACAACAACAAAACTTGCAATGTGGAATCATTAAAAAGAAAAAGTCCTGCAAATCCTGCAGGTTTATCAAGGATTATTGAAGAGTTTAAAAAAACTAATTTAAATGAATGATTTGATTTTGTGCACTAATTACTAAGCATTATAATTGGGTAGTTCCTCTTAATCATTTGCGTTTGACAGCATCAGGTTTTACTTGATGCCATCATACCAAGTTCGGGTGAGATAGCAGTGAAAGGTATTTCACCCTGTCTGGGTCATTCTCGCAGTGTAACTCTAGTGCAGCTGCATTTAGAGGAGAGCTGTAAGCATAACTTGCACCAAGGTGGGATTTGGTGTGGAAGAAACCAAGTAGTGCCACGTTATGGAGCCGATAGCCTGAAGACGTATGCCACCTGTTCACACGGCGCTTTGCATTTGGTGTCTTGTGGGCAGGAGGCCCCAAAAGGAAACGCAGACAGCAGGCAAGTGAACTTCCAGATGGCATCGGTCGTACCTGAATCCCAATCAAGATGCCTTTCTCCGGTAGCTTAAAGCCTGTGGAGAGCATAGCCTTCAGGAAGGCAGAATAAATGTTTGGTCCAAAACAAGCTACCTGCAATAAAAACACACACACACACACGAGTCTGTTAACACTGAATCTCCAAATGACATGACAGAAAAACTATATTATTGGGTTGCACTTACTTCTCCAGTGGAGGCCATCTCACAACGAAGCACAGGGTCTGCATCTCGCAGCCGGGGCCAGGAGAACATGGGTGCCTGGTTAAATGAGGGAGAGGCCAGTGATGTGTTTGAATTTGGTTATAGTCCCGTAATAAACCCCCATTTAAAAAAAATCACAAGTTATCACAATCACGCCGTTTGGTCAATTCTCCTGACAGTTGAGCATTGGCTTTAAATATGTGCTTTATAGAATAAAAAGACTATGATGGTTAACCCTGGAGAAAGAAAAACAAAAAACATATATAGTAAAGCATATAGTTATTAAAACGTATACATACGTTTCAGTCAATAAAGACTGACATCCATCCACTGCTTCCACATACCAGCAAAATGAAGCTTGCATTCCATTAAAAGGAAGCAGGGGGAAAACAAGCCGGAGGAAGTTGCTTAATAAAACTTATTTTGAACCATTGCACCAAATATTATTTTACTGCATCTCATGCAGCATTTCTGCTTCACCATAAAACGAGAGAGCGGTCCGGTAACGCAGAGGGTTAAAGAAGCGAAGTGCTACAACTGCTAGTGACGACAGACTTTAAAAAAGGATAATCTGATAAGCGAGGAGGCTTCTCAAACTGCAGGCCCCCGGTCGCTTCAACAGCCAGTTTGACATGCCGACACTGAGACGAGGGTAGGTGGCCCGAGTTAGAGAGCAGCAGCAGGGTGAGACAGAAGATGAGAGGCAGTGTGAGGCAGGGGGGAAAAAAAGAAGTTAGGAGACGACGGGGGACGAAAAGACGACGGTGAGGGAGAAAAACATGAAAAGGAGAAATAATAAAAATGACTTGAGATGAGAACAAAAGGGAGGGAAGAAAAAGAATGAATGTCAGGACGGGATAAACAAACTTAATTAAGATGAAAAAAGGGCTTTGGGGGAATAGAATGAAAAGGAGCGGGGAGCGGGGGGGGGGCAAATTCTACATTTTAAAAGAGGAAATGGGAGGAGGCAACGATTTAAAAAGAAAGTGTTGGAACGAAAGCAAAAGGCGGTTTTCTTAGAATTGTATTACAGACAAATTAAGAATAGTGGGGTGCCATGTGGAAGGACATTCTTATTTCCCCATTTAAAAGTCGACAACCCCCATTACCTTGAAGAGAGCGAGAGAGAGAGAGGGGAGGCGTTGTGTGACTCGTGTGTGAGCGCGCACACACACACACACACACACACACACACACACACGCACACACGCACACACGCACACACGCACACACACGCCACTAGGGGGGGATTCATCCTTGAAACGGGCTATCTAATCAGCTGAATGTAATGTTAGCATACTAATGTAAGAAGGGACGAAGAGAAGGGAATGCGGACCGGGTGCCAGCAGCGCTTATTGTGGCTGTGTTCAAAGAGGCAGGAAAAGAAATATGCGTAGATAAAACAATGTTACCAAGAAATAAGAGTACAGGGAGACACACACTAACACACAAACACACGCGCACACACACACACACACACACCGAGAGGGTATAGCATAAACATGAATACAAGATGAGTCATACAAAGATGTAGAACCAAATCTGCAACAAAGACTTAAAACTGAAAATGTAAACAAGATGGCATCACTAACACCCGTTTGAATTGCAATGGTCTTAAAATGAGAAACCTTGGTTCAGCCTGAACACAATTATTAGAATCTGCTGGTTGTCATTTATAATAGTTTGTCGTCCGATTGCATGTCTGTCTCCGGGACCGAATGTACGCGACTGTCACATACCCCAGTCTCCATAACCACAACATGCAACCAACACAAACACTACTTCTCCCGTCTCTCTGTCCCACACCGAGCACCTTCTCCGGAGAGACAACATCAGCCGTATTATCTTGTTGGAACAGCTGAGCTGCAGAGGTGAAGGAAATTAATGAAGACAGACATTTGCACATCCTTGTTAGAGGCGGACGTGAAACCTGTATGAATGTCTTTATCTTTGCAGCCCTACATTTGCAACAGTTTTATTCCCCCATATGGTTGCTGATGGTGGACGTTTTGAAGAAAGAAAAATCCCTCAATGTAAGTTCAAGTTAAAAGATCACGAAGCCGCGGCGTACCGGTGGTCATTACAGTGTAATATGTGGACGCAACAGTCAAAGAACTAAAAGAAATACTGGAATAGAGATCAGATTTAGCTTTTCCTTTTTCATTAAACCCCACAAAATTGATCGAGTGGGGGATTTTATCATTACCCTCCTGCTGTAAAGTTTGCAAAAAAAAAAATGCATGTTGGGCATGCGTAAAGTCCTGAATGCAATGGTCAGGGGGAACAAACATGCAACGGCTGGAGGTTATATTTGTCAGCCAATAAGTGTGCACGAGGGACCCACACCCGACCACCAAATCCAATGCCTCCTCCTCAAACGTCTTCTTCACGCTCCTCTTCCGCTCACTATAAGAAATATCACTGTTATCGTTCCTATGAGTTTGTGTATATGGAACGGACAGAATTAAGCAATGGGGACTTGTTAGTGGAAAGAAAACAACATGGCCTCAAATGAGGGACAGTCAGAGAGAAAAATGAGAGGACAAGAGTGAGAATGAAAAGAAATGAGACATAAATGAAGGCCGTCTCTCTGGATAGCAATGACTAATAGCACTGTGGGATGTGATGATACAGAGAGGACCTCTCGGCTGGGGGGGGTGTTAGTTGCAAACACACTCTTCAGGCTAATACAGACATCACAGTGCGTTTCTAGTAGGGGCTTGATGTTGAGACAGCAATTATGTGTTTAAACAGGTAAAAAAAACAAAAACGCTGCTACTACTTCAATGAAAAGGAGTCTTTTATTGTGGCGAGGTTGCAAGCAAGGCCCATATCATTCAGAGGGTATGAAGTCTATCACAGACTCCAAGTAAACTCTAGAAGTCTTTTAAGCCTTGCGCCTGGAGTATTCAGAGCTCTGATTAATATTCCTCACCGCTGCGCAGACTAGAAATTGAAAACTTTAGGTGGTGAGGAAGCGTCGGGGATTATACCTGCGTGATTGGCTCCAAACTACAGCCATTGTTACAGCAGCTCCGTTGTAATTAGAGGGAGAAATTACTTCAGTAAAAAAAAATAGCTTTAGACCAGCTGCCGACACGTAAACTCCCTGGTACCCAATCTAGGAAGTAACCCGCCCAGCCGTTACGCAAAAAGCACCTCATAACACCCCCCCCCCCCCCGCCCACCCCACCCCACCCCCAATCAAGCCTAGGTAGAGGGATGGAGCAGTAATTGCAGTCTTTGTTATGTGATCGAATAGAAGCTGCACTAGTATCTATTAAGGTATCATACATGTAGGGCTCTTTATAAAAGGAACTTATTGTCCGACCATTACAGATACACTATGCTGTCAGAAGGAAGACATAAGGACTTGTATAGTCTTTGTGATATTCCCTTATATAGCAATGAGCAGTTCCTCTGAAACCTGACCCTTCAACCCCTTATTATGGGCTTTTTTTGCTTCCTTTACTCTTCTTTTCATGATATAATCACGATGCCGGCTCTTATTACTGGAATACATTTTTCAGTTAACCATAAGGGGACAAGGATGCCATGAATTGACCGTGTCAACGCACGTTTTGAGAGCTGCACACAGAGACATGTCAGTTAAAAGCAGAGGTGGTAACCGCTGCAGTCTGGCTCCCCTCCACGTCTGAACTCAACATACTCTCGTGATTCTTGCTGGTGTGAGTGGGCAGCGGCTACCTGAGCCACTGTAGAAACAGAAATGTGCAGAGTGTTTTAACTGTGGTTTGGCACCATGTCGTGTTCATTTTTATGTCCTGTTAAGACTTGTTCTATTGGGTCCAGAAATAAGCATTAGGCTAAGCAAAAACAGGATAGCGTCTGAAAGGATTCTCCCATTCATCCCACCTGTGAAAGCACAGCTGGTTCCAATTTTAATAAATATTGAGATAAAAGAAAAAATTGTTTTAAAAGGTCTATTCTAAAAAGGCCTACCGTGATCATTATCCCCGGTACTCATGACTGCGTCCAAGCCCCGCTTGCACTGGTACAAACACATTTCAAAAGGGCATACCATTGTGTAGCACGCTCGTGTTTAAGCCATTAATCCACAAGTGTGCACTTCCATCCATTCACATTCTGTGCTTTTTCTGTGCTTTATAAAAACTCAACATTAAAATAACAAACAAAGAGTGAAGAAAGCCAGTCACAATTTCCAGCCCACAGCAGTTCTCACCTTGATGCCAACGTAGTCTACGGGTATGATGGGTCTCTCCAGAGAGGGCAGGCTGGCCTCATCCAAAGCCTCTCCCACCATCACTTTGGTTGCCACATTGATAAAGTCCACGCCGATTGTTTTTGATGCAAAGGGGAAGGAGCGCGATGCACGCAGATTGCACTCTATCACCTAAAGGAGTTATTTCAGAAATAGTAAAAAAGATACCTATTGTTGCAGAGTAATATACATTTAGGGTAATCCAACATGCATATCAGTGTAGATACGTTCATTGCAGTGCACATTTCTTATCTGTGCTGTAGCTTAAAAATCTACGCTGAAGGCATCGATCATGAAATCCATTCAACTTTGCAGATCATTCTGAACACAAGGGAATTTAACATTCCAAGTGAATTGCATTTGCTGCAACCAGGTGTGAAAATGCTGATCAATCATTTAGTCATAGCCTGAGAAATATTACCTACCATGACATCATTGCCTTTAACCAGAAATTGAGTGTTAAAGGGCCCCGAAATCTCAAACGCCTGCGCAATTTTCTGTGTGGCAATCTTGACCTAAGAGTGATGAAAAATGAATACACAGATACAATATTTATAAGGCTGGCTTAAACAGTTTCATACCATAGCATCTCCATATGCATGAATGCAGAGCTTATTTGGGGGGGGGTTCCATAATGTACATTGTGGTTTAAATGCACACGGCACACGGGTGAAACGGCTGGTTTTCCTTGCAGTATAAACGGGGTCATTAAAAAGCGATAGTAATCTTGGTATGGTTCGAGTGAGAATGCAGGCGGAAGACTTAACTGACCTTCTCAAGTGCCCCCTGGCTGATGGACTGGGTGGGCAACATAAGAGTGGCATCTCCCGAGTGTACCCCAGCATCCTCCACATGCTCTGTGATAGCATGGACCAGAACCTGGAGAGCGGCACACAGTGATTAAGTGACACTGCGAGTGTTTGCATGCGGCTCATATCTTTAATAAGCGTAAGAAAACGCTCCTCGAGGCCGGATGATTTAGTCCTTTTCCTGATGGGGATCTTTCAGCCTTGGAGCCAGATGGCTCAGTGTCGGTGTCGCCATCAACACATAGTGAGCCGGCTCAACAACTGTGAGCAATGCGTCGGGTCTGTATTGCACGACGCGATGCGAGAAACAATGTATGCGGATATGCGGTGTCAAAAGGACAACTTCCAACATTTCACCCACAGGAAAGGAGATTTGTATCACCAAGCAACTGTGTGCGCGTGTCGGTTAATGAGCTGCCGTGTCATTAGCTCATTTAAACTGCTGCTAACCACAGCATTCATTAGGCTCTTCAGATAGAGCCGGTAATTAATACGTATTATCTCTGACTTACACACGCGCACACGCACACACACACACTCACACACACACACACACACCAGGAATAATGAGGCCTTTTTGGTATTCAATGAATGGACAGCTTGTTAATGTGATACTGAAGATAAAGAAGGGGCTGTATTCAGGGATAGCAGAGAGAATATCTACCATACAACTCGATTGCTCACTTTTCAAATAACACCCTTGAAATGACTCCCGCAGCCTAAACAATAGAACAACTAACGGGCCATTAAGGACAAGTACTTAGGTGTCTCTTTTGACTAAAGCAATTTACAATGCCAAATATTACGGTTACATTTGTTGTCACAACCATCTTTCTGCTCATGGGCTGATCGTGTAAAGCCTTAATGTACAGAAATTGTCAACCGTTGTCCCATGTGTCCGAGGAGTCGAGATAAAATCTAATTTTGCAATTTATTTTCCTGTATCCTCCCTAAACCTCTACTAAATTATTTTGCAGATTATCCCCAGACAGAGAAACAGACTGTGTGCCGCTTTATTAAGCGTCACCTGTGGACTTACATTGAATACTAATATGAGAATCTATGAAAATGTTGTTCATTTCAAAAGTTTAACTGCTGGCTACAAGACACCTCCTACCGCTAAAAAGGGCATAATTGTACGTATACATGCGTCCCACATACATGTTTTCGACCAGAGGGTTTCAAGGCATAAAATCATGTTTTTACATTCACAATTTGACTGACATTTAGGTTGAGGAGTTTCACCCCATCAACAGAGGAATGAACTGAACTAATCTGGAAGTATCACTACTTTTCTGCATTTTGGCTTTAATGTATTCCACTCTCCAATCTGTCTGTGCTGTAATATCTTTTCAACAAAGATGAATGAGATTATTTCCACTTTATTCATCTACTGGGCTCAGTATCTGTCCTACCGTTCCGTTTAGTCTGAAGAATAATGGAGGATTTAACAATGCAAGGCTAAAGGGAAATAACAATGATGTTGTTAAAAATGTGGTCAAACAGGGTGTCAATATCAATAAAAGCAGATTACAGATTTGGGTTTTCCAGGCTGTAACAGGCTTATATGGAGGATGTACACTTCTAACAAGTCGTATTCTAAATCAAACATAACTCCCTTGTTTTCTTTGAACACACATTTCAGGCAGAAATAAACCACGTGGTAAACTGAAGGTGTTTGGCAAAAGCGTTGTCACATACACAGGACGGCTACACTGACATTCAAAAAAGTGGGATGTCATTGATGTCTCACCTTTCCCCTTTTAGCTACTGCATCCACCTCGACCTCCCTGGAACCGCAGATGAACTTGGTGATGACCACTGGATGCTCCTGGAGGAAAGGCAGCAGGATGGTTATTCTATCGATGAATAAATCTGAAATTATCCACTCTTAACAAGGTTATGCCCTTTGTGTGTATTGCAGTTAGTACAAATTTAGTTGGACTGTATTTAAAATGAAGCTAAGAATACAAGTAATTTTAATTTTAATTAAAGGGTATTCATATGAATACAAACAACTGTATTTTGCTATGCTTCAATTCATTCTTTTCTTTTTTTTACGAGTGACTTGAATTACATTTTTAGCTAGTCCAATTTGCTACCTGAGCAATCCAACTCTGCCTGTAATGTATTGGGCCATGAGCAGCAACAGCAACAACAACACCACCACCACCACCACCAAAACGGAGCGGTAGAAAGGAGAGGAGGACGGCTGCACGACAGGCCTGGAAACGCATCTCCAGGGGCAGTTATCGGGCCAAAGTCTTCAAAACACACACTTTATTTACTGCAGAGAATTTGACACCAAATATTAATAATGCCAAATTACATTTGAGTTTATGGTGCGTACGGCTCCACAACAACACATTTAAAAAACTTGTGTGTGAAAACAGGCTATATTGATTCAAATGCACTACAGGGAGGTAGAATGTGTATTTCTTCATTTTGAGGGTCTACTGTCCCTTTAACAGGCCATTGTTTGTGGTTAGAATGTGTGTTTATGGGTGTGTGTGGGCCTCGGAGGGGCCAGGTGCCAAAGTCCCCTGCGGGTTCGATGAAGTAGAGCTGCACACGCTGCGCTAGCCAACAGCCGCAACAGCTGGTAGCATCTGTTAATTGAAAGCTGAGGGAGAATCCAACATAGAAACAGAGTACGAGAGTGTGTGTGTGGGGTAGAGAGATCGATCGCTTGTCCCCAAAAGCTAGTGCAATAATTCAAGAGGTCGTTCTCAAGCGTGCAGGCAAGTTATCGCCGCACTCACCTGGGACACCTGAGTGGCCTCCTCCAAGAAGCGTTTCATCTCCGCTTCGCCGTACGCAACATTCATCGCGGAGCCACTGGTGAGATGCGAGCGGAGGGGGAAGAAAGAAAAAAGAAAAAAAAAGCGTGAAGGAAGGCGGGAAAACAATGGGCCACAGGAGAGGAAGAGAGGGAAGCAAACAGGAGAACATACAAGCTTCAAATGATCGTTCAAAAACACTCATTATTTCTCCGTTGCATCACTATTACCATCGGGAACATGGTCTAGAAACAGTCAAATTAAGGAATGAGAGAGGGAGCAAGAGGGAGAGAGAGAACATCTATTTAGGTCGAAAAGCACTCCAGGCTCCTGAAAGCAAGTTCAGAACTTAGTCATTAAAAAAACAATAGATTGCGGCTAGTTTAGCTGGGCTTGTTGTTGTTTTGGATTTTAAAAGGCAAGCTGGCTGTCCTCCTGATTGAGAAGGAGAGGTTAAAGGAGAAAGGCCATGGGCTCGGGTCACATCTTTAATCCTTAGCATGTCCTGCCCCTGAAATGAACACCAATAGAACATGAATTTTACATTCACGCATATCCTTGACTGAGATGCAAAGTGTTCATTGAAATTAAAAAAAAGAAAAATCAATTATGTGCAATAAATATGTTTTTACTGTGCAGCTTAAATGAAAGTGCTCTTGGTGTCAATTGTAGTGATTGTTTGGGAACATTTGATTTAATCTGGTTCACCCCAAAATGGTCACATTTAGGTCACATTACGAGGCCGATTGACAACGTGAAATAATGACTTTTGGAAATTAGTTGTATCTAGAACAAAAATTATATTTTAACTTTAAATTAGATTGACTATTTGTTTAATCTTTGTGCTCCACAGAAAGGTCAACATTTAAAGGAATTGCAACAGTGGATGTGGAAGGAAGTAGAAATGGGGGTAATCTTTGGTTTATGTTTGCATCGCTATCGCTCATCGTACGGCCATCGGTCAAATTCTGAAGAGGAAAAGCAATGAAGTGCACGTTAAGAGTAACTCAACAAACACTATTTACAGACCAAATGGCTGAACGCATTTGTTCCACACGGTCTGTTTCCAATAGAACCCCACATACACACACACACACAACAAATCCACAGTGTGAAGAGAAACTCTACAGTTATGACAATTCTAAAGCAATGAGTTAACAACGCACCCATTTGATGGATTTTTATAAAAAGTGAGTAAGAGTTTCCTGCTTGGTTTTATTGCTACGGTCAGATTGGACCATTTCTCACTCACAAAGGCTTCCCCACATATAGGAATTCAGTTTCCCCGTAGCACTTGCTAACTGAAGGAATCAGACACTTTCAAGATGTTTCAGCTGTGGATAGACACGTTGGAACACCGGCTACTTATAAAGAAGTCGCTTTGATGAATAGTTTAAAGACCGTCCGATTGCTTGTGCACATCTTTCTACATACAACACATCTCAACATATCTAGCCGTGCCAGTACTTCAGAGCAAAAATATACTTCCTATGTTGTACAAATACATTTTCGAGAACCAAAAAGGCATGATGGATTTAAGTATGCAAATAAGATAAGGATCACGCGGCATGAAGCAAATGGATTTCAGGGCTAAATACTTTAAACTTTGTCTTGGTTTGTGCTCATTTCACTGAAAAATGACTCACGAATATGACAAGGAGCGTTTGGTGTGGAAATGTGAAAGTTTGAGCCTATGTACTGAGGCCGAGAAGAACATTCAAAAACCATTAACAAGTATGTCAAGTTGGAAGCGGGAAAACGCTCTGGGGAATGTGGAGGATCAGACGGAGTTCACCCTGCGCTGATGCTGAGAGGAGAGGAGAGGTAAGGCTCCTCCTTCTAAATCAACAGAATTCCACAATTCTGGTGGCAATAGTTTTGTTGGATTACACTACTTGTGTCGTTTCATGTGACCTGGTGAATGGCACTCGATGCTTAGCATGGAAAACAATATAAAGTCCGAAACTCCCTTAAACACGAGCGACTGGTCAGCGCCACAGAGCTTCTGAATACGGGGTCACATCACGACATCTGCTGGACTAAAGTGTCACTACACGATTAAACGGGCCGTAATTGTAGTAAGGTTCATTAATCATCATAAGTAAAGTGGTATTTTACTCACTTCGCAATACGTCTGTGAATTAGCTATTAAGAGTAAATTGATTGGTCTTTCTGGCATATCTCAGCCAAACACACTGTTTTCTTCCCTATATTTCGTCACTTCACTGAATTGGCTAGAATTAGAAAGCAACTAAATAAAAGATGCTGGCCTTGCGTTTACTGATACATAAAAAATAATCAAAACTACTGCGAATTTAAAGCAGGTTAGCTGACGTGCATTTCGTCGTCTCAGTACCTGTACAATAACAATGAAGTTGAATCTAATCATCTAACCTAAACTTACCTGAGAACGTAGGAGGGGCGCAGCAGGCAGGGATAACCCACGTGGTCAGCGAAGGTGATGGCGTCTTCCTGCGAACGGAGAGAGAAGCACAGCGAAATGTTGTAAGCTTCCTCATTTGGTTTCACGGAGATAGAAATGTATGACGCCATGATTCCTTCTGAATAGTCTGACTGTAATATATCTTTTGGCTAACGAGGAGAAACAACATACTGAAAAAAACAAAAGCATTTAGTAAAACAGTAGGCTAGGAACCAATCATGAATGAACAATTTAGTGGATCGATGGCCTGGAAAGCTCCATCGCCGATCAGGTCTGAGCGGTATTTGTTATTTCAATCATTATGCATCTGAGGATTTATCATCACGGTATCCATATAAAGTTGGGACATTGTATGATTAGCGCCACTTGGGACACAAAACAAAAAGAATCAATATCAAATCAAGGGTGGTTGTTTGCACTTGTTCTTGTAACAAAGCCTCTGGTACAGAAAGTCCAATTTAAATCAAACCACACACATTTTAAAGGCCTCTCGAATGAAAGGTCTGCTCCCGGTCAGAAAAAGAACAGGACTCATCAAAAGCGTGAAAGGGACTATAAGTGCTCCAACAGCACCCAGTGAGTGGGGCTTCAACTCAACCTCCTTTAGATTTGTTTTTCTTCCATTCAGTTCACAAACGACACAAGAGCATAAAGAGTACGAGTCGTGGGAGGAGTCGAACAATGAGGCTCCTCGTCATCATCGCGCTTTCTCCCTTATCCATCTCGCTTGCCTCTTTCTTCCCATCATTATCCACTGTTCACTCGCCAGGTGGGATACCATCAACAAAGCCCCCCCCCCCCCCCCGGCTCTACCGGAGTTATTTCAACCCATTAAAAACGAATCGTTTCTCTAAGCTCGGCAGGGAAATAGAATATGCAGGTCGACTCTGTAGAGACGCAGAGCTTTATCGGTTTGTAACGGATAATCGCTCCTCAGTGGTAACTGGATACGACGGTAATGGAAGAGACATATTTCAGCGCTGACGACTGACATAATTCGGCGCTCCGCATGTCCCACGGAGGGGCCGGCCAGGGCTCCGCCGGACGAAGCGCTAAACACGAAAGTGGGCCGGGAGCACAATGCCCCAACTTACCGTCTTGTCAATATCAGAGTTTGTCTGTAGGGAAAGGTGTGATGTGTTAGGGCTCCAACTAAAAAACAAACAGTATTATTGAGGTGGGGGATATAAAACCGAAGAACAACTCTTGCAACTGCTTTGTGATCACCAGACTTAACTAAATTATCTGAATGTGTACATTACATTTTTATAAATGTAATTTCCCTCAACTATCTCCAAAAACCCTGAGCTTCCCATCCATTGCTTACTGGTAAACACCCGGAGTCACTGGAAGAGTAACACGGTGACACCTAAAGGCTCCGGAAACAGCTCCTGGGTGCTCAGGTCCCATTCCACAAGCCTGACATCATTCATTTATTTCTCACCAGTGAGCTGAGGGCCCTCCAGGGGGCCTGGGCCACCCCGAGGTCATCGAGTATCGCGGAGAAGACGGAGCGCTCCTCGGCCCGGTCGATCTGCAGCGGGCTCGTCCCCAGGATCTTCACCCCGCTGAGGTGCAGCGGCACGGCGAGGTTGTTGGGGATCTGCCCTCCGACTGACACAATGCTGCCAGAGCAACCCTGGCAGAAGAAGAATGTGTGAGATAACAAGAGGATGAAATAGCGGGCGAGAATAAGCGGCGGCGGGAGGAGAAAAAGGGGGAAGTGAAGACATTCCATCAAGTCCTGGACCTCCGCGGGCCCATCGGCCAAGATTAACCGGCCGATATCTGCGCCGCATCCAATTACACTGGCCACTGATCACAAGGAGAAAATATGAGACAAACAAAAACTGTTGGTCTTGGGTGTTTCACTGAGTATTTATTATCACTAGACAGTGTGTGTGTGTGTGTGTGTGTGTGTGTGTGTGAAGAAGTATGTTCGCTCCTTTAATAACAGCATGCAGCCCCTTTTCCTGTCCAGCTGATCCAGGGGGGGGATGTTGTTTCCATGGCAACGCCAGGTTGTATCTCTTCATTATTCATGGGCCTGCTCTCCCCGCTCCTGTCCAGGGTTTATCTCCAATGCTCTAATGCCGTATTTATCACACACACGGACTCGCAGAAAGCGAGAGAGGACTGTAGCTGGGAGAGATGGATTGATGGTAATGCCATCCCCCTGAACAAACAAGCACTTAATCACACACTGACCCCCATCGTGACTTTAAAGTGGATTACAATTCCGCTGCGAGGGAAAGTCAATGGATGCAAGTACGCAAACATACAAAACAAACACACAGATATCAACAACCATATACGTGGAAAATAGCAGGGGAGTAGCAGCTATTCATGCCCCTGAGCAGCGTTGGTCCATGCATACTGAAGAGCCGCTTTGGCAATAAGATGGAAATTACATAAATACAAACATTTATGTATAAATCTGTAAGAATTGCAATGTAAAATCACCAATTCAAATGATTTCCAATTTACATTTTATTAGCTAATCTCAGGTTTCAAATAACTCAATTAAAAGTTTGTTAGGAACCTGTATTGTGACACTATTTTGAAGCATCTCATAATCTGGTCGCACTTAAGTATGCACGATTCTTTTCCAGTTTTTGTTTATATGAACCCCATAAAATAATCCAAGAGCCTCAGTGACTTGAAAGGACAACTTCAAAATATTTTTTTTTTCATGCAGGTATTGAGAAAGCACAACCATGTGTATCGAGAGTCACAGAGAGACCAGAGAGCCTTGAAAAGCCATCAAATACTCCACTCACCTGTAACTACAACCACTTAAGCTCTTTAATCTTGGGAGAGCAGATAGCGCCGCACCAAAGTGTCCCAATTAGAACTCATTCAGTTTTCACAGTTTCTGTTAGAGTTCTTTTGCCTGCTTTTAATGGCCAAGATCATGCTCTTATTATCTTATAAATAATTAACTTGGCCGTGAAGTCCCTTCAAAATAAGGCCGAACCCTTGTGCTTGCCCGCTGTGAGACTTAGACCTATTCCTTTATTCTACAAAGATATTTGGTAAATATTGTTTTAATTAAATTGGACTAGCGTTTCCTCCGCATGAATACGTCGACGGGATTGATTTGGTTTGTTGTGTGTGTATCCCCTAATTGATCATTACTTCTCCGCCTACGGCAGGTCTTACATTGATTGCAATGCCCTATTTCAACCAGATTCCATTCAATACACATGAATATACGAGTAGTTATTAGCACTGATGGAACCTATTGATAAAGCAGACTCTCCTAGTGCATGCTGGGATCGCTGCAGCAACCCAGAACAGGATAATGCAAGTGGGTTTCAGTACAACATTATATCCCATTATAACGTATGACGTCACTGTATGTTTGGATTGAATTACAGTAAGAAATGGCAAGCGTGCATGGGTGTCCAAACCTCCAGTTGGGAGATGTCGAGGATGCGCTCCAGAGTTAACTCCTCAAAGTAAAGGCGGTCACATTCGTCGAAGTCCGTGCTGACCGTCTCTGGGTTGTGGTTCACCACAACGGTCTTTTTACCCATCTGCCTCAACGCTCTGATGCACGACACCGCACACCAGTCGAACTCCACGCTGCTCCCTGTCGGATCAAACGAGGTTTGTCCTATAAAGCAGTTTTACTAAGCCAGCCAACAAATTAACTGCATGTTAATATCATCCCTGAAACCTGCATGTGAACGGATGAATAATTATGTGTAAGTTTGTTTTTTAGCTCACCAATGTGATAGGGTCCACAACCAAGAACCATAATGCCCTGGTCTTTAAAGTCCAGATCGTTCTCCTGTTGGATTGGATAAACTGTCAAAAACATTCGTTGGCGCTGTAATCTGCTTCCCATCAATAATCGCATTGGACAGCAAAAAACACCTGAATGTTACAATCCATATTAAAAGCCATTTTTCCAAGCCAATTTCCAACTTTATGCCAAATTAATTTGGATTGGTGAAAAGATAATCACTTTATACCCATTATTACAGCACTATAACATATTCTCTGTCTGCAGAACGCGTACCTGACCGTTATAGGTACAATACAGGTAGTTGGTCATGGCTGGATACTCTGCCGCCAAGGTGTCAATCTGAGGAGAGGGAGCAGAGAAAAGAAAGGTAAAAATTGGTCAGAAAAACAATCACACAACATTATCACCAATAATTATTATATCAGGTTTACAGTAAATAAATACCATACATTACATCGAGAAACAGACAGACCCCAATTAACCAAAACCCAGGAACTGCTTCTCTGAAAGGCCATCATTTTCAATTTTCAAAGTTTGTATATTAAGTTTATAAAATGTTTTATTTCAGGACTATTACTGGTGATCGATGTATTCTGACCAAATAACGATAAAACATTAAAATACTCATATTTAAGTTCAATCGATTTGATCAATCAATGAATTGTAAATAACCATGACGGAATAACGCAAATGTTATATATTATATCTTCTGAGTTTTGCATATTTTGACCGGTGAATCCGTAATTACACCCTGGACTACACACTTTAATACTGTATGAAGAGGACAGACAGCTGATGATGGCTTTAACCTACATATTTTCATACTTATCTGTGGCCAAGGGAAACCGGTCCGTCTATGTATTAATCAGGCCGAGTCAGTTATCTCTGGATTGCTTAAAAATGATAATTTGCTCAAATTGAGAGCGGCAGTGACTTTGTCAGTGAGGAAATTGGAGGGGTCTCCCTTTTTCTGTAAACTTCTCATCCCTTTTTATCCACGGTTTCTTTATTATCCATGTCACATTCATTTTGGCATTCTATCCCATTGTTTAGGTTTATTATATTTCCCTTTATTGCACAGCACCGTCTGCAGAATTTCATATAAGAAAGGCCACACACACACAAATAAAAGCATATTATCATTATCGATGTCGCTTGCCCGACGCTGCAGGCACTAAAAGACGCCCGGTGACGCTCACCTGTTTGACCCAGGGTTTGATGCCGTGAGTGAGCCTCAGCTCTCTGGCCTCGGCCTCACTGGAGCCCAGAATCTGGCCAACCTGCCGGTCGGAGAAGCCGTCCTGCTTGGCCTTCAGCAGAAGCTCCTTGGACACTGTGTAACTGAACAGACAAGGAACAATGGTAGTCATACAGACGTTTGGCCAAATCCTTCAGAACCCCAAAGGTTGTCCACAAAAAAAAGAAAATAAAAAGGTACTACATTTGACTCTATATACTCAGTTTTGATTGGAACAGTAGTTCTCTTTGGCATTTTGTGCCTTAGCCAAATACCTGCAAAGTAGAAGTTTCTAGAGTTTGTCAATCATCTCTTAAAAGTTTAATGCACGATATGTCTACATGCAAGGCAGCTGTGTGGAAACACGGATAAATGGTGAAAGAAACAAAGTCAGGGTATGAAGTTCCATCTATGAACTGGACCAATTTATCAAACTCTTGACTTCAATTAAAACCATTTTGGACTGGCTGCTTGTTGTCCGTGCATCGGTGTTAATACACACAATACAATAGTCGTTTATAAAACGATGGGACAGCACAAGGGAAAAGAATGTATAAGTCTAAGATCTGTATAAGTACAGAAAATTCTTTCCCAATGCATTATTCAGCAGGTGGATAATTCAATACAAATCACACATTCACCAATTTCAATAAATGTAGTAAAAGTAAACACGTTTTTTTTTAAAGGAGAAAACCAGAGGCGTCTGACAGAATTCAATCAGGAATGTGCAACCCGTAATGACCTCGCAGATGTTTTCAGAAAATGTAAAATCAGAGCTGCTGGTTTCATAACGCAGACTAATGTTTATCTCCATCTAACCTTTCCCAGATAAAAAAAAACACCTTATACTTACAATTTAATATACTGACAGTTTATCTGCTGAAAATAAAAGTACTTTGGGATTTTCCTCCTTTTTAAAACAGGCTAAATCACAATGACAAATCAGAGTCAGTATGTTATTAGATAAGGAAGACACTTATATTTTGCGAAAGCAGTTAAATCAAAGGGCCGAGTCGTTGGGAGTTGATTGTTGTGGTTTGTCGGGATCCGAGCATTACGATAATTCACGTTTGCTTTTGTTAGTAACTTCTCAATGAGGACAGCACATGTGACATTTTTTCCTCTTCTGAACATGTATTTAAACACAGTTACGGAGTTAGTGAAAAGGTGCAAACCTCCTCTGCCTCTGTGTGTGAATGCGTGATGAAATTGATATTGATCTCCTCATGTAACTCCCACTATGAAAAGCGAATATCCTATAATAACAGAAGGAAAGAAAAAAGGGATTCTTATTTCTGGTGAACCACAGCCTGCTCTGCCCCCTCCTTATCTGAATTATTTATGACCTTGTAGGATAACAATATTGGAAATGTCAAGTGTTTTAAATCCCAGCGCACGTGCTGAGGAACAGTAAAGGAAACAATGGAAGCAGGGAGCAGCAGAGTTAGAAGCACGAGAGGGAAAGACATCTGATCAGTGAGCTCGGTTGACTTGTGTGCAATTATCTTCGCCAAAAGAGCCGCTTAAAGCCAAAGGGACATCCTTTGCATGTCATAAACTTGGGTACGTTTGCCCTCGCAGACAAATAAAACATGAGAACACACTCAGCGTGTGTGTGGTTTTAAAGAGTGAAGAGGGACTGCAAAATATTCCCGGATATCACAAAAACACAAAATAAAACTAAATTATAAATGGTGAATGGTTTCTATAATGTCACACGTATGGACCTTCAAAGTACTATAATGATACTTAAGTGTTGTACATTTTCTATCCTTTTATTTTGAATAAGTTGATTTAATTCAGGATAAGCACACGTACTGATTATATCGGTCATTAAATGCAGATACAGAAGGAAAAAGTTTTCTTAGAGGTATCCTGAAGGAATATGTCAATGCAAAATACTAAATAGGATAGTAAAAGTTAAAAGTAAAAGTCTAGTATCTATTTTGATAACCAATATGGTTTCAATCATGTTTTAAGTAAAAACATCCTTTGCTGTCTGCGAGGAGGATTTTTGGCTTTTTCTTGATCCGTGAGAATGTAATATCTCTAGGCTCTGGACTTCTATGCACGTTTTTCTGGCCTTCAGGACCGTCTACCTTTGTCTGAATCACCGTCACAATTTCATTTGTTTCTTACTTTTGATAATCAAATTGCCAGATTCATTTATAATGACAATAATTGTTGCAGAGCTAAAATAAAACATATTCTTTGAGCGTTTAATACGTATAAACAATGTATGGCCATAACATTACTAGTGCTACAGCAGTCACCGTACCTAAACGCTTGGTCTCAAACCAGCTTTACTGCAAACACAACACAAGATTAGAATTAATATTCTTAACATACATGACAAGACAAATCATTGGTTGTCATTTGAAATTAAGACGTACAACTAAATTCGAAACAGCACAAGTCTTGTACAAGCGAATAAAAATAAAAATAAATGTCTCTGTCTAAATATCTCTGTACACACCACGAGTCTGTGTGCATGGGGGGGGGGGGGGGGCACCCTGTTTGTGTGTCCATCCCTGTGTCCCCCGCTTCAGGAGGCAGCAGAGACAACAGCCTTCATTATTAAAACAGCAGAGTCAGAGGGAAGAAGCAGCCAGTGACATTCACAGCGGCTGTCCAGGTAGAAGCCCGAGGGCAGAACATGAGAGAGAGGCAGCTGAGAGGGGGGCAGGGGGGGAGGAGACGAGGGTCCATCGCATCCTGAGGACCAACATTTTTTCTATCGAAGAATATTACCTAATTTCTTGGGCATTAGAAATTCTGTTAGCTATAATTTACCATCCAAGTAGATTGTTGTGGGTTCTTTTTTTTTAAACGCAGATTTCAGAGTATTAAAATAATTTAATTGTATTTGTTCATTTAAAACAAAAAATGAGTTTATATTAAATACGTTAACCAACAGTCTCAGGCACCAATAAAGTGAAAGATAAGCAGGTGATGAATGTGCGAGACACAGTGACAGAGACAGCTTGGGCACTTGGGAGAGGAATAATAATGTATTCCATAGAAGGATTTCCATGAGTCCACCTGTGGTGCAATAGACTGAGCTTTACGGACGATTTACTGCATTTAGGAGCAGATAGTTCCTCTTGACTAGATATTTTCAACGATCAAATGAAAAAGAGGTAGTGAGAGCCGCCATAAAATGTAACTTTACTTTTTAATTCTAGTTCTTGAGAATGTCACAACACTATCTTTAGTCTCTAATCCACACATTCACATAAGGTCATAAAGAGCGCACGCGCGCGCACACGCACACACACACTAAATTGTGTGTGTCCTTCCATCAAAGCAATTATTCTTCGCCCTACTCCCAAAGGAGCTACTTAATTTTCCTCTCTTGTCCTCGATGCAAACTTCTGATTTTATAAGGCCTTCGCATGCATCTACACAAACAATAACCTCAAACCAAACGGGTCTACACGAGAACACAAGTTGCACAATACCGGATAGCACCTTTAAAAAGTCAGAGCCTCATATCGTTAATCACTATACCAGGGAAATAAAGATGCAGAAAAGCATAAAAAAGACAAAAAGATCACCTGATGGTTTTATATAAAACTATAAAATAAAAATAACAAAGTCTTAAAGACTATGCACTTGGTGTTGATTCATAATGTAGGTTTTCAGGTCACCAAAATAAAACTATCAAAGTAATTTCCAACATTTTAATCTGAATTAGAGCTACGTTTTTGACGCAGTGGATGGTTCGATCCGACTGGATAACCAGCGGCTGGGACCAATATGGTTTAAATGTTTTTCACAAAGCAGCCGCGGTTAACGCCTATTCCTTAGCGACCCCTCTGACCTGCGGGTCCCCGCAGGGCTCCGTCCTTTTCACTTTATCATTCTGTCGATGACAGATGACACACAGATCTATGTTCTATTAAAAGGTTGAAGAGGAAGGCAACACCAGTCATCTTTTATCCTGTCTTAATACAAGACAGGATAACTGTCTGGAGCGCTGGATGTCCCAAAACCTTCCCACCTAAATGAAAATAAATCAAACATGATTCTCTTAGGTCCCCTAAAGTCAAGCCCCTAACAGAACCATCTTTGAGATGGAGCATTTCAAAGATCCATCATTTTTAACAAGTGCATAAGTAAAAAATAACCAACTGTACATGGGGTTGTATCTCTTCTCGTGTCGAGTATTGCATCTCCATTAAATAAGAGTTCAGACCCTCGCTCCTTCGCTGAATTCCTGTTCCCATACGAGCCGGGTCGCAACCTCAGATCGTATTTTAACGATCGACTGGAAGGTACAGAAAAACTAAACGGAACAGAACACTACCTGTCGTGGGTTGCCAGGCGCTGCTCGAGCTGTGTTATCTTCTTAAGTTTGTAGAGGAACCATTTGTCTATGTAGGTCAGCTGGTGGATCTCATCAACACTCATTCCACTGTGAAGGGCCTGAAAAGAGGAGACATGAAACAGACCCGACGTTAGACCATCGAGTTCATCACTCCTTTACGGGAACGTTCGGAGAGCAAAGGGACCCAATAGATTTCACAGAATTTCAACAGATTTCTTAATAAATTGCTGGTGATTAAACTTCATGTATAATATGTTGTAGGAACATTATATTACTCTGCCAATATTGGCCTTTTATGAGATATCTGATGTCAAGCCGGGCTGTCATCCACCTGTGAAATGACAGAGGTTCTGCCCTGACAACCGCTTGTAAATACGTGTTATCATTTTGACATTAGGTGGCTGACCAGAGGAGTCACTCCAGGTTAGTGAGGGAGGATTTTATCCGGCAGTAAAACGTGATGTGAAATCCACCTTGCCCCGTAAAGAGGAGGGCTTCTCGTCAGGTTAAAAAAATATTTCTGTCACTTTCAGGAGAGACTTTAGCTCACCTTGCTGCGATTTTGAATGCGATGGCTGAACAAAAATTTCAGCATCATTTTAGAGAATCGTATTTTATTTATTGTCCTCAAGTATCTTCTGATGCCTGAATAACTGTGGATGGGTCTTATATTCTTCGCTGTTTTCAGGAATGAATATATCTCCACTTTCGGACACCAATCTCACACAGCTGGAGGTTTTGGCACTAAGACGACATCATTCTGCTCTTCTGTCAGCTGGTGATAACAGCATGTTGAAGTGCAGGATCTGTTAATGTTTCAAACCTTCCAATAGTTTGTGCAATGTGCGTTTGAATGATGGAACTCGACCCTGTGTCTCGATGTACTTATCAAAGTACTGTTTCACCTTGGGTGGATTTTATGAGCAGCCCGAGAGGCTAACATGCATCAAGGGAACGCAAAACCATTCAGTATAGTTTGTGTTTTTCAAATAAATATAACTATTTACTTATTTAAAATCAAAAAGACTAATTTTCTACACTATTGGGCATTCATAACTAGGCACACAGGTAGGCCAAGGACATACTTTGCACTTTTATTTCATGATCATTCTTCTGTTAGAAATGTGATTTTAATGAGAAATCTGTGGCCAGTGTCGTTCATTATTAATGTTATGAAAGACCAGTGTACCTTGGCGAGGGAAAAGATGCGGGTGATGGAGGGCACAGCCAGCTCCTGTTGGAGGTCCTGGGTGTCAGCCCAGGCTTTGTTGAGTGGCAGCCGAGGTACGAAGCCATCCACTGATGGATGACACATCCTCAGGGCCTTCTGCACGCTCTCCTCAAAGGTCCGACCAACTGCCATCACCTGAATCCAGCAGAGAGAAAATACGTGGCTCAAAAAACGTGGGTTTGTGAACGCAGTGAATGATGAGTGGAGGAGCGCGAATTTGAGCAAATCCGTGTTTTTTCTTGGAGCCTCCCTGACCTCTCCGACGCTCTTCATGGCGCTGCCTATTTCGTGGGACATGCCCTGAAAGCGGTCCAGGTCCCAGCGGGGGATCTTGGTGACGATGTAGTCTAGACTGGGTTCAAAGCAGGCGGTGGTCTTCTCCGATACAGCGTTCTTGATGTCCGGTAAGGGGATGCCCAGAGCCAGTTTTGCTGCAACAAAAGCCAGGGGATACCTGTGGGACATTGACCAAAGCACCAGGAGAGCAAATCAACTGGGCGCGACGGTTTCTGCACCCAATGAGAGATTAAAAAAAAATGTAAAAATTGATATAACGTAAGCATCTTCCGTTTGCACGAACACATCGTCTCACCCGGTGGCTTTGGAAGCCAGAGCGGAGCTTCTGGAGAGCCGGGCGTTAACCTCAATGATGCAGTACTCCAGGGACTGCGGGTGCAAGGCATACTGGATGTTGCATTCGCCTATAATGCCAAGGTGACGAACCACTTTGATGGCGGTCTCCCGGAGCATGTGATACTCCTCGTTGGACAACGTCTGGCTGGGTGCCACTACTATGGAGTCACCTGAGCAAGAAGGATTTAAAGGGTTTGAATAGAATTATCCAATGTAAAGCATTACCACATGCAGCTCCACATTTGGTTGTAAATGTTTGTTTTTGTGAGCACGTGTGTCTTCTAAATTTTCTGTGTAGTTATGAACAGTTGTTGGTATTAGCAGGACACATCTGACTTGAACTATAGTTTTACATCTGGCATTACAACCTGTAAAATGTGCTGGCGAAAGTGATCATCTATGGTTTCACACAAGAAGCTCTGGGCCGAGAAGTCATTGCATTTCAGATGAAAAGCACACTTGTCTGTGTTATCCTTTGTTGACCACTCAAACCACGTCTAATCTTTAGTTACACTTCAAGTGGCTCAGTCAGGACATGTTCTAGATGTTGGCTTTGTGAACTGAGGTGAATCCACATCCACAAGTGTTCCACTAAGGTATTGACTTTTTGATCCACCCAAACAAGACAGAGAAATAACACGAGGACGAAGCCGCCTGGAGCAGCCATGTCATATTACAAGGTGAATTGGGGAACAAGAATAAGCGGCTCGGATCGAAAGGAGCAAAAAGAAAACACGCTGACCCAGAAGCAAACCCCCAAAAGAGAGAAGGTTTGTTTGTTTTTTGTATTCTATAGTCCTTACAAACTGAATTTAAAACCACAGCAGTGTTAATTTTGGCAGCTATTTTTGATTTAGTCTTGCATATTAGTTTTAGTCACATTTAGTCATTTAATCCTCCTTAGTTTTAGTCAACGAAAACTAGACTAAAATGTAATTAGTTTTAGTTACATTTAATAGCCATATTAAACTCCTTTTCTTCCCTTCTCAGGCCCAGGGACCCCCTGTGTTGTGTCTACAACTGCATAATAGTCTAGCTTGCAGTACTTGGTTGTCCATTAGACGTCCCTCCTAGGACAGGTCGGCAAACGTTTTGACTCGCGGACCACAGTGGGTTGTAAAGTTTGACGGAGGAGCCGGGCCAAGAATGAGTGTTTGTGTGAGCTAATATAAATGACATGTGAAAAATCATTACCTGAAAGGATTTGGATTTTAACAAATAGCAAAGCATTTATTTGCAAGGCAATTTAACAAATTGGCAAAGGTGTAACAACTTCATGAGGACCAGGGATCTAAACGCAACACTTAGTTGTCTTTGTCTGTTTACTTGCAATGCTTTTGACATGGCCACCGGAAACTTCATGGTCCTTTATTGTTTCCACTGTCCCAACAAATGAGACCCCTTAACGTCCTACAATCAGTGCAATACATTATTTTCTTGGCTTCAGAACCTGCAATGAGTTTATTATGTTAGACGTGTTTGTAACGGACCGTCTCATCCAGCCGAGGAACCGCTGCCTGCCGTCGCCAGAGAACAGAGCAGAAAGGTCCCAGTCTGTTAAACGGATCTTCATGTTTCTGTGAAGCAGCGCGGCTTCAGCCTGCTAACAGTCAGCTAACCCGAGACAGCTGAGCTAAACTAACGAAGCGCACAAATTCGCCGAAGTGTAAAATAGTCGTCGCGGTCCGTAGTCGGTGCACAAGAACCACCGCTGCACCGATGTGAGCGTTGTGGGTTCGTGGATGACGTCATCATGACGGATTAATATCCGCCGTACTTTGCCTGTCTGTTGTCTGTTTGCTGCATGCGAATTTAAGGGGAAAAGTATTGTGACTTTGTCACCCACCAACATGTTCGTCTCATCTCGTTAACGAAAGATAGAATAGATTTAGTCATTGTTTTTATTTTTTAAGATCGTTTTAGTCACGTCTTAGTCATGGAAAAAAGGTTCGTTAACTCTAAAAGTTTCGTCATAGTTTTCGTCGACGAAATTAACACTGAACCACAGAATACAAAGAAATGCCAAAAAATCTCAAACAGTGCTCGGGCGTGTGAAGACAAATACAGCCTGCAGTCCTGGGCTTTAGACGTCGTACCTGTGTGAATCCCCAGCGGGTCAAAGTTCTCCATGTTGCAGACGGTGACGCAGTTATCGGCCACGTCTCTCACCACCTCATATTCCACCTCCTTCCAGCCCATCAAAGACCTCTCCACCAAGATCTGCTTGCTCATTGCCAAAGCCTATAGTACAATGTGCACAGAGTATTATTACTATTACACAGCTGGTACACACAATCTGAAACCGAGGAGGTTTACTGCAGAATACGTCGCACATACTCGGCCCATTCTTATGCTGATTGGTGCATAAGAATGAATGGGTTTGTGTTTTTATTTTGCTTGTCTAAAATTGGACACGGACCTTGTGAACTTCATCTTCGTCTCTCTACTTGACATAAAGTGGCAGAACACAGCTGGCAAAGTAACATTTGCCAAAAACACCCAAGTTCAAATGTAATCAGCAGGACAGAGCATGGTATAAAAAGTATCCATCAGTTGTGCCAGACTGTTCATTTTGCAGCCTGCAATCACAGATTTTAACCAACTCATCTTTTAAAATAGTCCTGGACACAGGAAGAGCCCAAAAGACTGTTGCTAAGCAACAGTTAACTAGTCACTTCTTGCAGAGCGCGAAAAACCCCCCCACATCTAAATCATTTCAAAGCATTTATCTTTGTGCAGGTGCATGTCGTAAACGCGGGTAAAGGTATAGAACTAAAAAAAGAACAGTAATGAACAGTGAGAAAATTCTCCAGTTGCTCATATTGGAGGAAATAAATAAGAAACATCACACCATTAATTCTGACCTTGTTGGCCGTTTCCTCCAGCTTCTCTCTGTTGGCACACAGACCAGATCCGAGCCCTCCGAGGGCGTAGGCCGAGCGTAACATCACCGGGTAGCCAATCTTCTCTGCAGCTTTCAAGGCATCGGATACCTGAAAGATGCACGCAGATATTACACTGCATTTTCCCTGATAAAAACGCAATCCTTATGCATCCCGAGGGCCATTTTTTTAAATCCAGTTTTTAGATTCTGTAGGCTGTTAATTTGTCTTTTTTATACAAGTTCCACCTGAGCTCTTATTACAACTAAAAGAGTCTGTGCAGACAAAATACAGACAGTCAGGGACTTATCATTTATGATGTAACTTATCATTACATCATAAATGATAAGATCAGGCTTTCTGGCTTCAAATTAGCAAATTGAACTCAGTGAAAAGAAAAGTGAAAAGAAGATATAATCAAAGTATTTGTACAAGAGATTTCCTGCAAGCTATCAATTTATTATTTTTCAACTAAAAAAAACAAACCTATGTTGTTGTTTATAATGGACATGACAGAATCAGTGTTTTTGTCATTGTGCTGCTGTCAACTGAAATGAATATATATAGTTGTGTGTTCTAAAAGTGGGTTAGAAGATTTAATTAGGAAGTAATTACTTAGTGGCAGTTTTTGAATTTTTTTTAAACAGTTGCTTTAACACTCCAACAAAATACAGAACACAGTTCAACGGCATTTACACAAATGTATGCAATCTATGCCTTACCAAATGTACTTATCCGTTACTGGATCCTTACCGACTCCACGGCAAAACTGGGCGCAATCTTCTCATTAATCTCCATCAGTTTGTCAGCAAAAAGCTGTCGGTCCTCTGTGGCCATGATGGACTCCACTGGGGTTCCGAGGACAGTCACCCCGTACCGCTCCAGGACGCCACGCTGGAACAACTCAACGCCTGAACACACCGCAAGACACCCGAATATAAACTGGAGCAGACGTCTAATCAATACAGAATACTGCTGTTGGTCCAATCTGGCTGAACAGCTATATTGAGAAGTTCAGTAGCTGCATCATAAACTCAATTAAGTGGAGTCAGTCTCTGAACTCTCCTTAATTTGATTATTCTGCTCAATCCATCTAAAAAAAAAGTTTTCAAAAAGGCAGCGATTTCTGAAATAAAACCTCCTTAAGTGTCCGTTTGAAGTGATCATTGGATCAAAATAAAAAATAAAATCTGTTTTAATTTTTTGCTAAATTTAGTTTTGGTGTAAAATGTGTATGCAATTACACAATGACTAGTTGCTGGTGAACCCTGCCCAAGAGGCCTGCGGTAAAACCAGCGTCGCCTATTCTTGGTGCAAGTCACTGTCTACCCAGTCAGCGCGGGTTATTTCAACAGAAGCTTCACACGCCTCACCGCAGTTGAGTGCAGTCTGTCCGCCCATGGAGAGCAGGATGCCGTCAGGACGCTCCGTCTTGATGACTTCGGTCACAAATTGTGGCGTGACAGGCAGGAAGTAGACCGAGTCAGCCTGCTTGGCGCCCACCTCGTTGGTCTGAACGGAGGCTATGTTTGGGTTCATGAGCACAGTCTTCACGTTTTCTTCCTAAAACATATAGGAATTATATAGGAATAACAGTCTGGTGATTATCTTTGTGAGCCAGGAATATTTTGTTGTCAGTTTTGCTTATCCTGAGCAGATATTTTGTCTTAACAGACTAGAACCACAAAAGTTGGCGGTTGTTGCGATGGCTTTGTTGTATAATCAGGATGAGGATTTGTTTCAATCAGTTACAGATGGGTACTGTCATTTCTATATGTAAAACAGGAGAAAATACAATGCTTTTTGTAACATTTCAGAGTTACAGATTAAAACGACACTTGACACTTGTCTTACCTTCAAAGCCTTGATGGCCTGAGATCCAGAGTAGTCAAACTCTCCAGCCTGACCAATAGACAGACCACCAGAGCCCAGCACAAGCACCTTCGACACCTGCAGTTACACAGACAGACAGCATTCATCCAGATTCAAATTCATTGTTATTATATTTCAATACAAATCATTATGGTATGCAAACTGAAACGCGCCAACACCCTGGGATTGTAAATCTACCTTTTTTTTTAAAAATTAAAAAAAATGTTACGGCAACACACCAGAAGTCCTATACATGTACACAGTGGTAGACCTGCTGAACAAGTGAGACATTCAGTACTTCACCTGAGCTCTAGGAGGAATGCGCGGCGTCTTAGGCATGGCTGAAACTATATTGGCGTCTTTTCCTTTTTGAATGAGAGACATGAAGACGTCAAAGAGGAACTGTAGACACAAAGTAAAATACCGATTAAACCATCACATGAACGGTAGAATAACTGCATTAGTAGAAGCCTGCGTATTGAAATAACATTTTTCATTTAATATATATATATATATATATATATATATATATGATATATATTTATATATTTATACTATTTCATCGGAAAACTACAAAGATATTACAGCAATTTACAATGTAAGAATGAAATGTTAAATCTACAAAACCACAACTACACGTAAAAGGTGGGATCAGTCCATGGTCATTTGTGCTAATTGAACGAACAGAGTATTTGTTGATAGACAGGCTCGTCTTTTTGTGTGTTTCTGTAGAAGGTACAGAGGGCTTCTCCCTGACAGTCGAGGGTTTACGCTATTGGTCACGGGCACCGTGCAAAGGAAAACCCAGGGGGAATGCAAGAATTCTCCAGCAGAGCTGTCAACTGCATGTTATGGTAGAGAGGCCAGGTCTTATTATTCTGCCTTAATGTGACAGAGGTTACAACATACTTTGACCAGTGACTTGAACTGCAGTCCCTGCCTGTCATGTGGGAGACAAGAACCGCAGCACAGACTCAGCCACACTTTATTGGCACCTGTGGCTCTGGTGCCGTCCGACATCAAACCCCACAGATGATTAAAGGACTCATTGCAAGTGATGTAGTAACTGCTTGACTATTGTTACCACCATGTCTGCTTAACATACCATACAATCTATGTAAACCAACGACTCTCCTCCAGCCAAACCAGTTCTGCTTTGGTGTTTTACAGAACTCACGTTTTAATGGAGGGCTTTCATTGTTACACAAGCAGCATTCTGTAAAACTACCTTTTCTCCATTCCAGGATCGCATTCAGGTACTCGATGCAGCGCTATAAAAGTCTTTAATTACCTCGGTGTCAGTGGGACCGCATTTAGCCTCTGGGTGGAACTGGGCCGTGAAAACAGGCTTACTGTTGTGCATGATGCCCTGGAAAACATGCAGACTTGATATTAGAAAAGTGAAAAAAAACAAGCAAGACACACTCTGCATCTCATTTGTTTGCATTCCGGAGAGTCAATTTTTTTATTTTGAGACTAAAGTGTGTAGACTTTGTGTGTATCCTTTATTTACTTGACTACATTTGGTCTTTAGGAGACCACGCTGCTTTTTAATCCATAAACCCACAAAACCGAAATATAAAAACAACTGAAATAGACTGACACGACAGGTAAAAATCCACCTCATTGGTGCCGTCATTGGCGTTGATGAAAAGCGGGCTCCACTCTGGGGGCAGGGACTCGCTGTCTATGCCGTAGCCGTGGTTCTGCGACGTGATGAAGGCCTGGCCCGTCATCACATTCAGCACCGGCTGGTTCTGGCCTCTGGGGAGCCACAAACACTGATCAATTGCTGTCGGGAATGTCAAAATATGCAGCAATTCTTCCACAAATCCTCTGGATTTAGAATAATTCAGCCTTGCAGACGTTTTATGAGGAACAAAATGCACTCCCAGAAGATGCACACAATGCGTTTTGGCGAGTAACAATGTAAACCTACGTTTTGTTTACAAGAAAAGTCACTGGGCACATTTAAATCTTCATAAGCATTATTTAGCTGCGTGGGGGTTTAGTTCACCTGTTGCCCATTGGCAGCTTATATGACTGAGCTCCGGCAGCCAGAGCAGTGATCTGGTTGCCCATGCAGATCCCAAACACGGGCTGGGGTCGATCACTCTCCAGCACCTTCACAGGACAAAACACAGTCCGATTCACGAATGTACACATGTGAACGGTAGTGTGAAGACCATTTGTCTTTAACAAAAAAAACACTGATTGAATCTCAAACGTTGTTGGGATTAAAATGTTTAGACAGCGTAATGTTTTACCTTGCGGACATTGTGGATGAGTGTCTTGGCCAAAGACGGATCTCCTGGTCCATTGGAGATGAACAGGCCGTCGTAGTCGAGACTCTGCAAGTCCTGATCCCACGGCACCAGGTGGACCTCTGCACCCCTCTGCAAAAACGGAACCAAGAAACAGATTATTCTATAAATAATCTATCCATCAAGTTGTACACGTAGCTGTTACTAAAATAAAACATAAATAATGATCCGACTATTACAGATTAACTTAAACAACCACACATTCTCTAAAAATATCAAACGTTTACCAAATTTTTACCTCCAATGGCACTATCTATAATTATTATTACAGTATTAGAGCAAGCACATTGTCTCATTTTGTTCAACAAACTTGTTACAACCTCCACAGAAAAGCAAATATTGTCATAACGTAATATTATCACAATGTCCAGGCGACTCGATACTCAACAGACTCATAAAAGGCAAATCGTGGAAGGATTTTGTTTTAATACAAACGACTATTAGAAGTCATCAGGCTGCTTTTCCTTACTTTACAAGCTGAGTAACCATCAATAACAAGAAAACATTAAATGGAGCATTAATTATCTTACAGCTAAATGACAGACAAATATTGATGGATTTTTTTTCTGTAGTTTGTTAACCCTTCCGTTACAATCATCTATTTTCTAGTTCAGATAAACTACATATGAACAATATATATAGAAAATATCATTTCTATGAGTTTAAACTAATGAAGATACACAATTATTAACAAGCATCAAATTTTTTTTTTACTTCATAAAAGTTATTCTCACCTTAACAAGTAGGCGAATAATATTATGTTTAATACCGCAATCAACAGCAACCACTTTTATTGGGTTTCCTTTTCCAAAAACTTTGATTTCCTGGGAGGGATGCAGAAAAGAGAAGTCAGCACCAATCAACACCATTTCGAGAAAAAAAGAAAAAAGAAAAAAGAAGCAGCTTTTTGATGTTAAAAACAATAGTTATCTGCCGTTACCTTGATTGAGACCTCTTCCACCAGGTTCTTCAGGTTGGGATCAAAAATCTCAACAGGCTGCCCATCAAACTCAATCTTCCCCAAAGCTGTTCCCTGAGGAGCAATCAGAGGCAAAATGACAGTGAGCGATCGGCCAAACGAATGGTGGTTTCACAGCTTTGTGGTCAGCGCACCTTGTCTCGGATTATCTTGGTCAGCATTCTGGTGTCTATTCCAAACAGCGCAGGGACCTTAAAAAAAAGGAAAGGTACATTTTATAATGTGGCAGCAGAATCCTCCTCTCCGAGATTACAGCAGACACAGGATCATGTCCCTCCGAACCTTCTCCTCTTGCAGCCATTGTCCCAAAGACTTGACGGCGTTCCAGTGGCTGTACTCGTGACTGTAGTCTTGAACAAGAAGACCTGATACCTGAAGCACCGAAGCACAAATGTCACAAACACCAAACAAATGCCATTTAAAAAAAGGACGAAGATCGTAACAAGAATAATAACTAACGAACGTATTGTAAAAATGTCAAAGCAATTGATCTCAAATTGCACTGACCAACAGAAATATATACAGGGTCAAAGCAGGAATTAAACAGAAATACATTGCAGCAGAGAGGCGTCCAGAAACCCTGACACTTCAATAACCACTGTCGATTTTACTACCTGGATGCGTTCGGACTCCAAATTTTTCCTCAGTCCCAGCTCGTCCAGTTCCTCGGTGTTCGGTACCCCATAATTTCCCACAATAGGGCAGGTGAGGGTGAGGATCTGACCTCTGTAGCTGGGGTCAGTCAGCGCCTCGGGATACCTAAATAGGTATTGTGTATTGTGATGCAAAGTGGCATGTCATTGACTCAGGGCACATTATAAAAAATAAAAGGCTTAACTAAACGAACAAACTAAAAGCAAGGTGGATTTTGTGCTTTTTTTTTTGTTATCTGCACAATTTTGTCTTACATCTAATGTAGTTTGACTTTCATCTCGCTCTTACCCCACCAGGCCAGTATTGAAGACGAGTTCCCCAGCTACAGAGGCTTCATGCCCAAAGGAAAACCCTTTCATCCTGGTGCCATCCTCCAGGACCAGTTGGGCCGTGTGGGCCTGGAAGTTAAAAGAGATCAGGCAGAGATGATAAATTCTCCCCAAGAATAACAAATAATAATTCCCTTTGTACGAAGCAGGTCTGGTGAGACCAAAGGCAAAAGTTTGAAATGAATGTGAGGTAGACTTTAGAGTTTAAGGCGAGACCGGGGAGACTGCAGGATGCCCTGCTCAGTTTGACCTCGAACCCGTGGCCATCACAAGAGCCGGGGACCCATTAGTAGTCAAATTCCGCCTGGATAAGAAACATGCTTAAATAGGAACAAGCACAGCTACGTGTTAAGAAAGTTTGGAGAAGAGAAAGCCAGATGTTGAGCAGGGCACACCTCAAGCATGACGCAATTCCGCATGGAATTGGCACACATGACTAATCCACAGAATTAGATGTTATGCAAAACAGTTTGGACTCATTTTATCGACCATTGCAGAACCATCCTTTTCTATTATTTTGTGAGTTGGTGGCACACTCGTTCACCGGTCTAACACAGACCGAATTAGCATTCAAAAATGGTACTATGTATTGCGTTCTCTCCAGGACGCGCGCTTATAATATCAACAAGCTACTTAGTACGTTTTATATTAAATTACATGAAGCTCCCGTCAGTTCGGCGTAAGGAGACACATCCAAACATCACTCTTTTACAACTTTTTAACCGCTTTTCGCTGCAACCCGCAGCCGTTTCCACTGCGTCATCTCCTAAACTACAGCACGAGTTGGAAATAAGTTGAAGCAAGAACGGTTCGTGGAATATGCCGATGGTGGAAGTGGCTCTTGGTGTATTTGAACAAAAAAAACAGCTAAAGCAACTTTTGCCCGTGTGTCTGCAGTCGAAGCATCGCAGAATTTGCATTATTTTCAGAGGAATTCGCCCGGGAGTCCGGGAGGCGCAGCTTGGATGTGGCGTTAACGCCGCCATCACCTCTAGAGACGTTTTGTGCTTCTTCCCCCCCTCACGCACACACTGTTCGCTTACCTTTACACTAAAATGTTTAGACCCTTGAAGCCTCGGCCACGCGGACGCGTGTGCACATCCTCGTCTCAGAGACTTGACAACGCGGTAGGCGGACAGGATTTTTGTCATGTTTGCCCGAATGACTCTGCGGGTAAAGTTGCACCGACTTGAATGAGAAGTTTCCCGATATAAAGCGTAATTGGTATTTCCGCTGTGTGTCTTTTTTTTTAGGAACCGCACAACTTTGGCTACTTTGTCATTGAGACAGTCGCCTGGAACCCTCGTGTTGGTACAGGTGACGCAACCCAGCGGCCGTCCGGTGCGTCGCCATTGGCCGTCGTGGCGTAGCTTTGCTCGACGCACGCAGCGCACAGCCTTCGGATTGGTGCGTGCGGGGAAACGCCCACTCTGCCAAAGTAGGGATGCACGTGGTTTCACATCTGTTTAAATTTTAACAAACGCACACGACCGAAGGTTGAAAACGTCAAGGTGTTCTCCTCCAGGCTAAACAGGTTTCACTTCTTGTCTTACACACACCAGTCAACATGAAATGACATTTAAAATGTAAAAACATCACGTTTATTGTGTACCAAAGTGTCGAATTTACATATAGACTAAAAATACTCATTGTTATTTTTTTGTTGTATTTGTTGGCCGCTTATTTTGTTTGGTTGACATTCTCCTCAACACTAAACGTCTCTCTTTTATTCTGCTTCCACTGTTTACAACCCACATTTTAGGGGCCACTAAATGTGCAAGCCGGATGAGAATGAAAAGCACCTGCTTGCAGTAAACTTGTGTGGAGTGTTTTCACCGCAAAAAAAACTCTTTACAGTTTTGTTCTTTCCTTTGAGGCCAGTTGCCTGCAAAAGAAAAGGCAAACTGACCATGAACAGACTGCCTAGTGGTGGGATTAGAGTTTGTGTGTGTGTATTTGCTGATCACTGCAAGATTGGTCCTCTGTGGAGAAGGCTGCCTGACTGACAATGCTGGGTTCAGCAGTCTGAACGAAGTGGGTGTGAGTAATAGGACTTGTGTGGATCAGGAAATGCCTCCACAATCCTGAAATCCGACTTGGAAAGAGAGACTGCGGGCCTGCAGTATGTCACTGAATTTACTTTACACGTATGATAAGTATCCACTCATATACTTAATTTCACATTTGGGTCGACTTCTCCAAAGCCCCTTGTTAACTTCAGATCTGGTTCAGTAGATCCGTGGAGCACTGGTGACATCCAGTGGTAAATGTTCACAGGGATTTTGAGTCAGTTAGCAGGCCTGTAGTGTCATGCTTGATGCATAGGTGACAGCGCGTCTGGATATGTATGAGTTACAGCAAGAACTGAGAGGAGTCAGATTTCATTTAGCTGCCGGCATGTTAAGCTTTATACTTGACATGAATTGAAAACCACATGTGTATATTCATCCCACATAGGAAGTGCTGCATTCTAGTAAATGATACAAACCATTACTCTGATCGCTACGAAAGATCTGATGCGTGCAGATCCACGGCTTTCATTTTTTGACATTGAAGTGTATTTATGGACATTTTTTGATTTTCTGTCCCTACATAATTTGGATAAAATATTAACATTTGAGCCCACTTTACACTGTAACTAAAAACTGAAAACTAAAAGTAGTAACAAATCCAACAATCTCTATTCTTGGAAGAAATGCATTGTTGGTTTTGCAAGAGACCCACAGAAGTTGAGTGAAGTGGGGATATGTAACATTAGGAAGTGCATTAAACAATACAAATGTTCTTGCTAACCTAAACACAAGTCAACTACTATAAACTCTTCAAGATCATTTGTATTACCCATATTCATTTCAAAATACTATGTTTTATTTTCTAAAAGTTGCAGTTGCCCCAAACAAGGAGTCCTCACTTTCAACAATGAATCCGATACAGAGGAACTCGCCCATGATTGGGAGAACCCGAGAAGCCTTTACGACATACCGTATGGCCGTAGGGCCCTTTATTTTAGGGGGGGGGGGGGGGGGGCGTTGGTGGGGGGCTGTGATTAGCTGCCCCCTAAATTCCTCCCCCGATTGGCCTAAAGACTAAAGAGCCCCCAGTGTCTGTCCTAGGCAGAGAGACCTCACATTGTCCGCGGTTTCAAGAGTGAGATTGAGACGGCGACCAAGCTTAAGAGAGGACGTGAATAGACACGCAGGCTCAGGCGCCTTTCTCTGTGCCACGTTTCCAGGCACAGTCTCTGCCCTGAGATGACGGTTGTTGTTGAAATGCCAGTTTTGAAAATGTTACATACCATTTTATTTGTGCATCATCACAGGGGTAATTAAAATGGCTTTGCATCAGACAGGAACTGAACAAATAGGAGTACTCGCATATTTAACAAAACAAAAGGTGTTGGAAAACCTGGCACAGAAGCAAAAAACACTGCTTCGTCAGGCTTTGTTTTGACTCAGTGGTTTATAATGTAGCAGCAGTTGAGAAATGCATTTTTGCTATTAACCATTAGGTGCTTGATAAAAATAAATATTAGTACATTTTCAATTCATACCACCCAGAAAGTGAGTGCAACACATGGGAAAACCGAGGTGCAGTGCTGGATTTAAAATGATAGTGAGCTGTACTCGATGGTGGCAGTAGTATGAGGTTGCCCTTTTCCTGGACCGGAAAATAAGTCCCGTTCTACATAGTGAACAACCTAATAGATTTTTGTAAAAAGATTCTCAGCTACTTGTTCCATTCACTTACCTTTTCCGTGAATCAAACTGACCACCAAAGGTCTCCCTAGTGCTTTAATTCAAGTCCTCATAACTGTAACGGGGTTAACATGTGTACTATTCTTAATATTTTATTCCCTTCCTGTCACTACATTACAGTATATGATTCTTGTTTTTCATGTGATGGCAACTACACCCTCCAGAGTTATGAAATATAAAAAAAAAGGGTTTGTTTAAGGAGGAGACTGTCTCTTCAGGCCGGTATGGGATTCCTTTCCTCTGTAGTGAGGTAGTGTCCCCGGTAAAAAAGGGCAACGGGTAGCTTTGTTTAGCCGGGCCCCCATCTAATTCATCTGTGGCTGGGGGGGGGGGGCTTACAAGAGAGAGAAAGAGGGAAAGACAGCGCGCGTCGGCCCCCTTAAGGAGCCATGGCCCTCGCTCTTAGAAATCCCAAGAAACTTCACACCTCTCTGTGGGGGACTATAAATAGGCTCCATCTGTGCCCCCGGGCTCGGTTACAGCCTCATTCCTTTTGGTGCGGTTGGAGGGCAGGGAAGGAAGCGCTTCGAACGGTTTGAAAAGGGGAGGAGGGCACAGAACCACGAGTCCAAAGTCGACTTTCTAGTCATCACACGCTGGGTGACCTCCGCCGCACTTCTTAGGGCGAAAGGAAGTCCATCGGTTCCCCGTGCCACCACAGCGACCCTCTCGACGCTCCAGCTCCCCGTGGAGCCAGAATGCCAGTGTCCCGGGAGCACGGGGCATCTTTGGAATCTCACGCCACACTGCAGTCATCACATGATATTTTCTCTTCACATTTCATTAATCAGGCTTAGCATAGAAGGCCCCTCTAGGTTAAGACAGGCACCGTGTCCTAAAATCACTGCTTCTGACGTTTCTCTCTCCCGGCACTCTGCTGTACAGCTCACGTTTACTGTTGGATGTTTTAGTCCTGATACTGGTCAAATAAATTACAATTATTTCTTACAATTCTGTCAACTGAGGATGAATTTTAGAGACGCATTGCGGCAAGCGGGCAAAATGCACCTCCCAAAGATCTTCATCTCACATCTATCTGTTCTTCAATCTAAACGGACATAACGCTTTGTTGTCTTTGGTGATTAAAATCCACCGAGTTCACCTCATTCTCTGCCTCATTTGATTAATATATTTATTATCCCAGTGTGTGAGATCTTAGCATACATCATCCCTTTCTTATAGCTGCAATCATTTTCCAAAATGCTCATGCAAATGGGGTGGAGTTATTTAAATGAAAAGAAGTAGCTTGCTAATAATCGTTTCTCTTTAAATTTGTTTTTCTCCATTCTGTGCTTGACTTTGTTTGTATCTATATTACAAAAAAAATATTACTTATGATCTATCTCATTATGCAAAATTCTTATGTTCGCTGATGGTTTAACATCCCAATTTCCGGTTGGAGGTTGACTGACTACAGACTTTTGTGCACGGACGGCAATACGGGCGTCCTTACTTGACGTTTAACAGGCAGTGTGGACATGTAGCACAAACACTGTGACTCAGTTCTCAATGAAAAGTCATACCTGGTTGAAGAAAGGGGCAGAAGAACCTCACTTGTAGAGCTCGTGATTGCCAGCTGTTAGACCAGACTGCCAAAAAAGGAACACAGGTCAAATAAAGATGAATAGCTCCGACAGCTGTCATTCATGGTCTGTAGGCCCTTACTAGGGTATATTTATAATCAGGATTGTTTGAGCGTAGTCCTATATTTGCATTACTTGTATTGTACTCAGTGAATAATAAACAAATTCATAAAATTACAAGCTTAATTCCATCTTAATTTAATTTGCCCTTTTTTTAGTTATCAAACTTTCGTTTTGATATCACTAATGATAAAACTGCGTCTTTTAAAATGGTGTTTTTATCGTTCATAAGTATTCATTCAACGTTTGATGTGTACACGATGAGAGTAGCCAAATCTGGAGGTGTTATTGTATTGCAATAAACACATTGACCACTGTAGTGGTTAAGACAACTTAACTTAACAACTGCTGCCAAGTTTTATCACAAAACCAAAACTAGTAGAGTGTCGTTATCCATGGCAGAGATGTAGGATTTGAGATAATGCAACCAACCACGTTAAAGTGGCTTCACACTGATCTGAGCAAAGCATTGCACAAACCTTCCCTTTTCAAAATGATATCTCATCTCGCAGGTCTCCACATCAATGAAACTCCAAGTTAAGCAGCGTAGATTCACACCTTCTCGATTGGGCATATGACGCTTACTGAGAAAAGGCGTTAGAAAACATAACCAAAGGACAGGAAACACAGCTTATGACCAGGAACCATTTAAATTGAGTTTCCTCATTCTGCCCTGGCGGTCGGCAGTGGTGGTCACTACGGGTGGTTGTGCAAAGTGATCTGGCAATGGCATGTGGCTCTGTTGTGTCCTTAATTGTGCAGTTGAAGCCCCTTAAACCTTTTAAAAGATCTGACCTCACCTCTCCAGAATGGCTTTCCAAATGGCGACGATGAATTAAATCGCAAAAGGGTCGCATGTTCATTCAGAAGGTTAAGATTGTTTTTCTTGGCTAATGCGACACTCACAATGACAGGGTAACGTTGCACTTTAGAAAACCTGTTTGTTCAGGTTGCTGGGACTCCGTTAGGACTCCCGTAGTGGAGTGACTGCAGCACAGGTGCAAGGACCGGGGCAGAGTTTCCAAAGGGGGAGGGGGTGATGGCAAGTCCGACTTCGGAGAAGGTGCAGGGGGGTTTGTGGGGGGTGTCTCGGGTGAGCCCCGATGACAGCTGAGGGACTGAGGCTTTCTCTGGCTTGCCCTCGTGGAGACGGGGTCAGTGAAAGCAGGGGGGGTCAGGGAGGGGGTGGATCGGGTGGTCGCCGCAGGGTGGAGGAAATTATGCGGTTCTTTCGTCACTACGCCCTGTCACGATGGCGCACCACTGGCACCGGGAGACAAATATAGACGAAGAATTAGGGAGACAGAATTGGCACTCTTGGCCTTGTCTGGTGTAACTGACATCGACAGCTGAAAGCTCCACTACGTCTCCGTGGTCCCGTGGTTTTACGTCACATCCGCCTTGGGAGTGGTGGTCAGCGCTCCCCCGACCAACAAAGCACCAAATTGAACACAGGTGCCGTTCTGACCAAACTCAGATTGTCAGCCACGGAAATGAACAATGGCTTATTATTAGATCTCCCGGACAACTCTCCCACCACCTGTCCACCTAGAGCCTGGTCCTTTGACAGTTGCTCAAAATGAAGAATTTTGATTAGTTTCTTCTTTCCACAAACTTCTCTTTTTGGGTTTGTTGGTTCTTACTTTTTCCACACTGCGGCATCAATCCGTATATACAAAATGTGTTTCATCACAGCAGTGAAGCCAGATATAAGATGCCGAGTACAACATTCAAACACATATGTCATGTTCTACGTGGCTACATCACATGCACATTTGTTGAGCATCATTGTATCCACATTTCATTCACATTGACCCCAAATTCAACCTGATGTTAGATAATATACTTCATCATTTTGGAAACCCTGGGATATATGCTATTTTGCAGGTAACGCTCCTTGTGATGCTTGGCTACACAGCGGTTTCAGATGGAGTCTATGATGACTCCAGCAGAGCGCAGTCACGTATGAGTTATACGCCAACCTCGATAATATTAAACCTGAATAGAAAAAGAGTCTAATCACCATAGAGAAACATATATTGGCATTTTGAAGCTGCTTAAGCTGTCAAAGAGACACATGATTCCTGCAGATCTGGCTTAAAGGATCAAGGTGGATAGAATCATCAAATTAGATGAGACAACCGTTTAGGAGAAGCTGCCTTAAATTACAATACGTGTCAGATCTGCAATGATAATATGTATAATTATGAGCATTAAACTCTTCTCCCTTTTTTTGGAAACCGTCCTCATTTAATTTCCAGTATCTTAGTCCTGACTATTCATTGAAACGTTCATTTCTACCCGACAGGGGCTGGTGTTTGATGAGCACCTCCACATTTGATCTGGTCTTCACTTTATTTCCAAAGCCTTCTCCCTCTTTCAGAGCTCAATTTAGGCTTTAATGCTTCGTTTCCTTTGAGGGGCTATTAACGATTAAGTTTCTGCTATTCATCAAATGAGATTATAGAGGTGGAAATGGGCCCAACTTCAATCCTCTTTTAACTTTTTGTATTTTAGTGGCACTGTGGTCCACAAGTAAACTTTTACGCCCCTTCCCAATGTTTTCGTGTTTTTGATTCTAGATATGTGGCGTAAATAAGCCCTTCAGTGGGCCGCATTCCGTGTTTGGAGAAGACACACACCCTTTCCACCCGCCATCCAATCCTTACACGGGGGACAGCGTCGGCGGGGGTCAAGTGGGAAAAAAATAGCCTCACATATAAAGGCCCCGGAGGTGATGCTTGCTCCGAGTCCACTCCACGCCGAGCCACACTCCTCGTGTCGTCATCCGAACCGGGAATTGCCTGTGCTTTAGGAACGAACAGTTCTTCCACCATCAGCTGACATGGCACCCAAGAAGGACCCTAAGGCGCCCGTCAAGAAGGCCGAGCCCGCGCCGGCACCCGCACCCGCACCGGAGCCCGCGCCCGCTCCCGCAGCGCCCGCCGCTGTCGACCTGTCCGCCGTCAAGGTACGATGACCGTGAACACACGTCACGCAGCCCGCTGCAGGGGGGAGAAACGGGGGAGGCAGGCCGGGCGAAGGCTGCTGCGGGATTGGGCTGGTGCAAAGACTTTGCATGACAGGAGTCGAGCGGCTTCAGTGGTTTTCAAAAGGGTTCTGGATGGCGGGAGGGCGGGTTTTATTTTTTAATTTATATATCACACATTTGAAGGAGGGATGTGACAAATGTCTGCTTCTGCATTGCAGCGCAAATGCAGACCAACCGTAACTCATATCCTCAAAAAAGGATTGGTGGTTGTGCTTAGAATCTAATATTTTTTAATGCACATTAGTTGTAACCTTGCTAAGGCTAGAAGCAAGGAAGTAAACCATTTATTTCACTTTGAGACGATGCATGTGTAGGTAGGTCGTCACAGCAGGCGGCATGAGGACTCTTCATTGAGACGGACGACTGGAACCTTGGACAGCTCTCCGTGGTTTAGACCACGCCCCCTCCCTCCTCTCACCCGCTCCCCTCGGCTCTTTGGATTGGACTTAAAGAATGGTGACGGCCATGTGGGGCTGACACCAAATGTGGACATGTTAATGTAGCTAAAGATGGACCTCCACAGATCGGATGCCACCATGTGAAGTTAATTTTGGCAGAGGGACCAGTTTAATCCTTCTCTAGACCCGATTGATTAGTCTACAATACATGTAAATGGGTGTAGTTGTGCTGTTGATTAGTTGGCATGTACACAACTCTTGCGTGTGTTTGTCTTGTAGTAATATGGCTGTTTTGTTTTGGCTTTTAGGTGGAATTCAGTCCGGACCAGATTGATGGTACGTACACCTCATTTTACCCCTGCTACCATGTGACACAACGCACAGCCCATAAAACTCAATACTTCCTTATATATCTCTTTGCTAATTCTCTGGACATATCCATCTACACTGAAGAGTAAAACAATGTAGATGAAGATGGTCATCTTTGTGCATTTGACATGTGGTAGTAAAATAATATGTCCACGTGGAATGCCTAGTTATACAAGGCAATGTGCAAATCGAGCTTCACCGGGTGGCCAAAGCAAACATCAGGAGAGTTTCCCAACAAATAGAGGCTGCAGCTGGACACCACGTACAGAATGTAGAGTGCTTTTCTTTACTGTTTGATCAAAAGAAAAACCCAGGTGCTATTGGACCCATCTGACCCTTGACAGGACACCACCTGACCACACTCGTCATCTGACCAACTGCTTGTTGCGCTGCAGTCAGCATTCCCTACTTCTACTCAGCTCTCCCACAGAGGGCTTTGGCTTTAAAAGGAGGGGGCTCATATTCTCAGCTATGTTTATCGATTCCAAGGTGGTCTTTTAAAAGAGACCATAGTGCTGCTAAGAGAGACAGAGACAGAGAGACAGCTGCGATACAAATAGTAAGTGGTGACGGAGTGGGGCCGTAGTCAGTCCATAATTGCACAATCTATAGAGACATACTTGCCTTGTTAAATGTCGCCCTTGCTCTATGTTTCCCTTGTCAGGCTGTGTAGGGAAGCTGCCTCCACCTGGTGGCAGGTGTGCAACAGCAACAGCTATTCTTACTGAAATGTGGGGAAAACACATTTAACATGCATAATAGAACACTGTAATGTTATTAAGTATTTTTATTTTGTGTATCCCTTGAAAATAAGATACAAAGAATTCATGTGTTTCAGATACCTTTGAATGACTCGGTAATATCTATATAAGGAGCGTCACAATGTACAGAAGCCCAGAATTGACGGACCCAAACCCGGGCTCTAGATTTTAGGCAATTTGCATTATTCCGTAGTTCTCCTGCACCTGGTTCATGGTAAAAACTTGGGATCTTCAACCTCACTGCTGAATGCAGCCAAATCAATTATTATACACATATAATAACACAAATCTCATATCATATATACAGCTATCAATGAATCTAATACTATGACACTTAACAAACAAAAAAACGGAATGAGTTGATTGGATGAGCCACCTGCCAGTTCACCCACCCGCCTGCACATATTCTGTTTACTCATTGCTCATTAACAGAATCCTCTGCAAGCTGCTAGCTCAACGGCTGTCAGTACGATCAAGAACCAGGTTCTTTGTTTACGCTCATTATGGGTGGCTTTTGAGGGAGATGGGTGCGCCGTGACAACTTTCTTGTTAGATGTAGAGACTTTTAGAGCTTCTGCAGCTGGCTGCTTTCATCAGAAAGGAGTCGACGACACTGTTGTGGGGTTTTTCAGTTGGATGATTTCTTTTTACTACTAGTTTCTCAAGAACACCAACACTGCCTCCCAAAATGTGAAATGCTACTGGATGATTTAAAGTCCCTCAAGCAGTTTTCTAAATAAAATATGGTACTGTAAAAAATGATGACATTACAGGGCTCAGCAGGCCTCTGCACACTGAATACCTTTCACACGGACAATTAATCCTGGATTAATTTAGGTGATTATATCCTCTTCTCCACTCTGCAGACTACAGGGAGGCCTTCGGTCTGTTCGACAGGGTGGGCGACAACAAGGTGGCTTACATCCAGATCGCCGACATCATGCGCGCTCTGGGACAGAACCCCACCAACAAGGAGGTCGGCAAACTGCTCGGAATGCCCTCCGCTGAAGGTAAAACATATTTAAAGCATGCTTGTTTTTTCATTTTTTCAACCCATCGGTGCAACAATACCTCTCCTCCAGTGAGGATTGGTCTGACTGTATATTTATTTAGTCAGGTTTTTATTAAAAAATGTGCCTGATAATATCCTTTAAAAAGCAGAGAACTGTTCTCTTGTGTCCTTTTGATCTGGTATTTGCCTACAGATAGGTGTAAATCTCTGTACCCTTTATACCAAGATAGCACCATGATGCTCGATCATTACTGACCGAGCCAGTGTCAAAAAAATCTGCATCAGAACTATAGGTGAGGAGGCAAGAAAGACACAAAACAAATATCCGAGCAAACTTAAACACCCGTAAATAAGCATCACCTGCAGTAGAAGGGGGGAGGTGTGCAACCGAGACGGTTTTGTCAACAACGTGACGATCGTTGTCTCGAACCTTCCTGGCTGGTCGACGTCCGGATGGAACCGACTGTAATTGTCTCTCTCTTCTCCACGCAGACATGGCCAGCAAGAGAGTTGATTTCGAGGGATTCCTTCCCATGCTCCAGAGCATCATCAACAGCCCCAACAAGGCGGGATTCGACGACTACGTTGAGGGTCTGCGCGTCTTCGACAAGGAGGGCAACGGCACAGTGATGGGCGCTGAGCTGCGTATTGTCCTCGCCACACTGGGTGAGTCAGGCCCAGGGCTCTGCGCGGGTTTACGTGCCAGCGTGGGTCACCGTGTGCGTTATTAATACCGCTCCCGTCTCCCTTCACAGGAGAGAAGATGAATGAGGCTGAGATTGATGCTCTCATGACAGGACAGGAGGATGAGAACGGCTGTGTCAACTACGAGGGTGAGCCCCAGCTTAGAGGATTACGATTTTCACCTTGACATTTAATTCGAAGGTTATCGGTCACTCTCCTTATAAGAGGAGAAAGATGTCGTGCAGCCATAACATGGCAAATGTTCCACTCTTTAACTAAATGTCTCAATAATGAGTGCACGACATTAATGAAAGTGTTGCTCATGAAGCAGGGCTAACACGACGGTCGCGGTCAACGTATAGACTGTTTATGTTATTTGTAGCTGTGGTCACTGCAATTCTGACAAATCTTTTAACCTTGGTGATCAGATAAGGAACCTCTCGTTCTCCTCGCTCATGCATTTCCCTTTCTCTTCTTTCCTCCCTTTGTGCTGCGCTGGTCTTCATCTGCAGCCTTTGTCAAGCACATCATGTCCGTGTAAGGACCCCGCCACTGCGGTGGTGAGCATCGTATGTGCAGACCCCACGGTGTCGGGACATCCACTCGCTGTTTCCTGTGCCACCTGGGAAGCAGGGGAACAAAGGACTATGAGATGTCATTTCCTGAACCCTTCTTTAGTTTTGTTCTACATTTTATTTTTATTTTTTTTCCATCCGGTGCTTCTTTTTTTTCTCTCTCTCTCTCTCTCTCTCTCTCCTCCCGCTGTTCGGCAAGACGTCCTGATTTCCCCCGAGATTTCCTCATTTTCACACACAAGTCACCGTGTCTCTTTGGGGATTTCTGGTATCACTGGTTTGCAAAGTGGAGCAGTGATGGAGGGGTTGATGGGATAATGATGACCCACCCCCCCTCCTTTCATTTGGAGCCTGGACGACTCCATCTGCCAGTGAAGAGACAAGTTTGCCCCAGGACTGGCCATAAAAATTAACACACTCCTTACCCGAGCCATCCCTAGGTCTTAACTTATTGTATCCTCTGCCACAATAAACCTTTCACAAACTCCTATTATATTTCCAAATTTCTGACTCTATTTATCTGATGCTTAATTAATTCAATTTCTTTGTTAAAGTGGTAGTTTTACATTTATGGAAATACGGGTACAATTATATGAAAAGATGTTTACCCCTCTCAAGTCTGTCATACAGCTAATAGTCAATTAGCTTAGCATTTGTTTTTGTTTTTTTAGGTTAAAGAAATTAGATGAACTGTATTGATTATAGACATCTTCTCATCTGACTCAGAAAGAAAATAAAGACCTTTCCAAAAATGTAACTTCTGATCAATAACAGTATTTCTTGTAATCCAAATAGAAAACAGATGGGCAGTATCACTTTTTGTCTTTTTTTATTGTCATTAATGATTGTAACTAGTGTCATATCAACAAGAGAAAAACTGCGTACATCTACTTGACTTTTTAAATACATTTACAGTTGCTGGGGGTGGAGCAGAAGGCAGGGAGCGGGCACATTTAGATGGGCTATGCAGAAAAAACACAGTAGCAAACAAACATTTGCGGGTGAGGGCAGTAATTGGGCCGGAGGCAAGATACACAACAAATGTCCAAAAAAGAAACTAGATCACCCAAACACTTTTCCCAAACAGATGTAACGAACTCCGAGCTCCCTCGGCCGTCTTGCTTTACAGCTTGAATTGTCTTTTTCAAAAGATTTTTTTAACCCCTCTTTCATCTTCCACACATTGCAACAAAACATCCAGATACGGTAGCATATGTTGTAAAACGGCATTGGATCTGCACCAGGACGCACACACAGAAAGATTTCAGAGAAGCCACATCTTCTGCTAAACTGTGGTGCAACATCAGCCTGTGTGAGCAGAGCAACGTTTGCACCGTCCAATGTCTGCAGCTCGAAAGACTTTTAGCTGTAGGTTTGTGGAATTAGCTCCAATGTTTAATACTGTTCTGATGTTTAAACAGGCGTCTATATTGAACTTCTGAGCAGGCACAAGTGCACGATGCTCCTCAACAGGACCGAGATGCACTCCTTAGCAACACCAAATCAGCTGTCTGACATTGTCACCAAGCATTACGCTGTAAACAACTAATAACTACAAAACATGAACTTGTTTAATCCCTATCCCATAATCGGAAATAACATACTAAATTTTTTTTCAATTACAAAATAGCCTCTTTTAATATTTGAATCAATACATGCTTGTCATAACATGATCTAGTTATTGCAGTAATGCAATTGTACATGTAGTTTTATAGCCATATTGTCACTTCCTTTTAAAATGTTTTTAGGACATGTAGATGGCAGAGAACTTGAATCTTTATACATGTTTCTATATATATTTAAATATATTGTATATTGGATGACAAGAATGACTTGCAGTACGGATGCTTGGTTTGTTAGGGGGTTTGGCGTCCATGCACATTCACCGAGCCAGAGCAACACGTGCTGCATGGTGTGCCGGCCACATTACTTCTTACTTGATGTAGAAAAAAGGCTGTAGCTTCACCAAAACACTGATCCAGGACCAGTTAAGCCAATACCTGGTCCCCCGCTTGTTATGTACCACTACATCTACGACCAGTGCTCAGACTGAACTATTCTACTGAATGTAATATCATTCAAAAAAGAGAGAGGCCAACTAAATTAATCAGAAATAGCATATTTTTGAAAAATAAAGAAGAACAAAGTGCAGTAGCTCCTAATTTGAGTCTCTACTTAAAGTGGAGTGATGGATCTTGAAGTGGAGATAAGCTGAGGTTGGCTTCGGGTCGGCAGGAGTAGGCAGAAGAGTTTTGAGGGATCATGGTGAGGATGTCCTGGGTGCAGAGCAGGTATCCGGAGGCCCAGTGTTCACAAACCCTGCTCGGCCAGAGCTGCAGTGACATCCTCGGCAAGGGTTGCTAACTGAGGCGACTCCAGCACGTTGAGACTGCCGCAGGATGATGGGTTGCTGTCCCGATGGTGCTGGGGGGAAACCAGGCTGGACAGGCCTGGTGACCGAACAATGGTCTCAGCTCCGTGGTCCACTCGTGCTGTGGCGTGGTCACGGAAAATCTGCCCGTGGCTCTCAATCTATCTGACACGGGTAACGTGAAGTAGATGTGGATGCGGAAGAAGAGATGAGAAGAGACAAAGATTATTTCTTGTATCATGTCTAAGGTGGTAAGCTTTAGAAAAACTCCCAATAGAACTACTCTAAAATGTTTAATTCAAGAAAACTGTTCTTTAAATACTCCTGTGTTAAAACATACATATACTAGTACCACAATCTCCCAAAAACCTTTTAAATCATGGAACTGCACAGAGGTGACTCTCACCGTGACGCGGCTTCCACCAGGAGCGTGCTGAGCGTTATCCAGGGAACCCACCTTGGCTTGGGCTTTGTCTTTGAAGTCTAACTTCACAGTCTCTATGCGCACGTTACCCCCCCCTGGGGAGAAGAAATGAAAGTGTAAAAAGTGTACAGGGGCAGAAACTTTGGTTTATGTTGAAGGAAAAGTCAAGTTGGTTGGAGGTTTGCTTTGAACGAACCCCCTGGTGTGTTGAAACAGATTTCATTGGCAAAGTGAATGCGTAATGTTGTGAAGCACTCGGTGAATACAAGGTCATACAGTGGATCGACAGCGGGGGACCAGAAGATGGTGCTGCAAGACCTAAAGTAGTCATCACAACGTCATTGGGGTGGTTCTTAGGTACTTAAAGTGCTTTATTAACATCAGGCCTGCAGTGTTTTTGGAACAAAGATAATGTTATTGCTTTCAACAGACATAACTTGGAGGGCCGGTTCTCCCCCCAAAAATAGACCAGACCAGTCGTCCGCGCAATATTCAGCACGTGCAGTCCCGAATTCAAAAATGCGTTGCGTTTGTCTCAAGAAATCAGACTAAACGTGAGCTTTGATGCGTAATATGCTAAAGGGGTCAGGTCGCCTCAGTTCCTCTCAACAAGTGCCGGCTGATTACCTGGCCGATGGTGGATGTTGTCAAGAGAGCCACACTTGGAAGTCACGTGGCTCAAATCAATCTTCTTGTTCTGTATCATCACCTGGAAAAAGCAAAGTCAGGGAAAGACAAGGTTAGAGCTCCCAGTTTGCATGTGGATATAAACCCCCAATGACCTCAACTCTCAATTACAGAGAGAGATGTAGTATGTGGGATCTGCACTAAACTGCAGCTGCTGTTTGAAGAAAAGGACTGGGAATTAGAGGCTGCCTTCCAACACGGTGATATCTAATTGCATGTAATTATTTGAAAAAAGGCATGAAAGCAAGAGGAGAATACAAGTGACTGTTAAATAACAGTCTTTAAATATTTATGGTAGTGCAGAACTGCTGGTGTATATTACACCAACCAAACCAATGGGGCTATAACTTGTTCTTGAACGTGAACATTTTTGGAGCATAAACATATTGGGAAAAACCTGTTGAATAAACACCATAACAGTGAGGGAAACAGTAAAGAAGGAATGCATGGGGGGGGCAGCCACAGCAGGAGAGAAAGGTGCTGTGCGGTAAGAAGATGCTGTTATGTGAAACGGGATCTAAAGAGGAAGCCACGCAGATGATATGTGAAGGTTAAGCCGATGAGACCGGAGCAAAACAGACCAAGTCTTAGACAGGCAGCACAACGAACGGGAGCAGATAGAACCGGTCCTCAGAGGAACCACTGGGACGCGCCTCTGGTCAGCAGAAGAGGACAACGGGAAAAGTGAGTCGATGCCCGAACGAGCCACGTGACGAACCACTGACACAAAGAACACTATGCAAAACAAGCCGCTTCATCTCCCGGGTGTTTCTGACACACGCATAACACTGGCAGAGATCTGCAGCGTGAGCTTCAGGACAGCAAGCGAGATGACGTCTGTGTCAGCGTGGGTGAACATCATGCTGCAGGTTGGCTCGTCCCCCCAGCGAACATATCTTTATGAAGATATTTATCAGTATAACACTGTATTGTTGGAATATTTTTCATAGCTATGATTATAATGACATTATCTAAATCAAAACACTATTTCATGACTTATATTTTGCAATTGTCATAAGAGAAACTATGGTTATTATTTTTGTACTACAAGTTGAAAGGACTTGACAGTCCGCTCTGACGTATAACATATATAGACCTGCATCTTTTCATGCCCTCATGCGAGAGGAGCGGATTGATCTCCCAACTTGATAAATGTACATGACATTTTACCGTAGAAAGCACCCAATTATGAATTTTTCATCTTTCCGTCTGCCTCTCACCCTTGATAGTTACACTACGATGTCATTTCGTCTCCAAAAGCTAAAGGGATCAATTCAAGTGATAAAACTCATCCACAAACCCTCTGTTCTTAGCCTTGCCTTAGGGTTGCCCAGTGGATGCTGAAATAAAAAACAGGACTTATCCAACACATTTTTATAAAACTAATGAATTTGTCGAGTCCCATGAAAATGTCATCTCAATCTCATGCTCGCAGGCTTTTTTTTCACCTTTTCTAAATCTCGTTGAAGGAATATGATACACATGTCTCTGTGTTCCCAGTAACCGGAGTTTTAAGATAAATTACAAGATGTATGAGGACAATAGGCCATCCGGCTTTGAAAAAGATCATCAACTTTAGCTTTAGATCATCAACTTTCTGACTAATGTGTCATAAAAATGATCACAAAAGGGATCGCAATCAAAACATGAATAACAGGGATCAGTGGGAGTTTTTAAGCCTCCCCCAATCATAGTAAATATGATATCAGAGGTACAATGTTCAATTGCTAGAGGACAGATGTGACTGTCTAAGATCATCGCATGACAAAAATCTGTACTGGAGAATGCCACGTTGATAAAGAGGGTGAGAACCTGCATTGCTGCACTAAAGTGTGACTAAACAATAAACTATAAAGCGAGGAGGAAAAGAAAAAGAAAAAAGACTAAAACACTAAAAGAAACACATTACAACAACAGGAGGCAGACATAAACACAGAGACAGTGGACTCACGTTTCCACCTCCTGCCGTGTGGCCCCGCCTCTCCAAGGACCCACACCTAGACTGAACGTGGCTATAGTCCAGCTTAACATTGGGGATGAGAACCTGCAGGGTGGAGGTGAGGAATGAGGAAGGACAAGGCCGCGCCTCTTCGCCATGGCACGTCATTTGAAAATATCTCTCAAAAAGTTTGAATGGGACTCTCTGTGTCACCCGGTGACTGTTCAAGCTGATTGTCCTTACTTTAAATAAAATGACCACCAGTTAACATCCGACAAATGACGGGGGAATACAAAAGCAAGACATCTGAATTAATTTGCTGAATTGCCATACCAGCGTCTGGTCTCTGGGAGCTTTTTACCAAACACATGACAACACGCAAAATGTGGCGTACTACAAGATTACACGCAAAACTAAACAAAGACAAATGTCCGTAGTGATTTTGGTGGTGACACTTGTTACTTATTTACACCCCGCCATGGAGAAGTCTAGCCACAGTTATTGGATGGAGCTGGTCGGTCATCAAGTGACTCGCTCCAGGGCAGACGGGTACATACATTGCCTCCACGGGGAGAGTGCTTCAGATTATCCTGGGAGCTGCATTTTGTCAGTAAGTGAATGAGGTCCAACTTCTTGTTAAAAATATGAATCTATGGAGAAATACAAAGAGGTTATGGGCCTCATGCATGGATACTTAACTCAACTGGAAAAAAGAAAAGATAAGAGGATACTGATTTATAATGGAAATATAAAATATTCCATGTGGCTAAATGACACGCCCTGAAATTATTAAATGAATTATAGCTGATTTGAGATTTAAAAGACATTTCCAAAAAAAGTCTAAAAACACCTCCTGAACTACAATTATCTCACCAATTTTCACCTCCAAGAGCAGGCGGATCAAACAACACTGATTATCATTGCATTCCCATCATGGTTAAGTTGATAAATGAGCCAATATACTTGGTGTACTTTTAAAAAGACCAAGGTGACAAAGGTCTGGCACTCAAAAAATAATCACAAGGTTCAGGCAGAACTTAAACATCTAATCTACAAAGCAAAAGCTGTGATTGGCTCGATTGACCACACGAAGGGTTCATGCAACAGCTGTCCAAACAACTCCTGCTGCTAATCTGTTGATTGACTACATTAAATATTCAATTTACTCTCAATTAATTAAGTAACGTGAAATGTTTATTCATGAGTAATTTTCCTCATTATATCTAATTTTGCACACTCTTTACCGAGCTCTATTAAACACATGGTGACGTAATTAGCAGTGCTCAGATGTACCAGCAGGTCTTGGGTCCAGGTCACACCGTGTGCCGCCGACAGGCAGAGAGTAACAGAGATGAGGCGAAGCACGGACTTCCAGATCCAAGAGGACTTGTCTTTGGCCTCTGCTGGCGTATTTTGGTCCTTGTGCTTCTATGAGGACAGCCATCGGACAGGTCAGTGTCCAGGGAAAGGACTGATATGGGCTGGGGGAGGCTTGGATAAGGAACTATACAGACTGTGGAGCTGCAAGGAACTAACAGAGGTCAGGAGAGGATTGTTGCTGTTGTAACGTAAATATTGCGCCACGATTCAAGCTTTGACCATTCCTGCGGCTAACAAAGGCTAATAAAGGGTAATGAAGGCTAAAAAAGACCCAAACCCACTCGATTGTTTAAAAAATGAAATCAGGAAATGGGTTTAAGGTATGACTGCATTTCTGCATTTCATATTATGTCTTTCTTGTGTCTACCATGGGTCATCATTACTTTCCCACTGACACATGAGCGCTCTCTGCTGGGCCGCCATGCAGCATGTGACCAGTCTGCAGCGAGCTCCACACACGAGGCGCGTGTCCGCTGAGCACTTGAATAAACGGGTAGTCGCAGTGAAAACCAGATCAAATGTGTCTGAATTCAAACCCAAGGGAGAGGGCACAACTGCTACACGTGGCTAACGAGCCTCATCCAGTGGCCAATGAAACATCCTTATGAGCTATTCATCTCTGTAAGGTCATTTAGACGTTTCACGACACAAGTAGACTGCATGCACCTTATAACAGCATCACTTTAATGTTTAGTTGTGGAGCAAATCAGTGATTATACATTCCTCTCTAAGATTTTTAAATCTTCCTATGAGTCAAAAAACAGCAGCCTTTGGGTGTGTCTCCAAACCTCTTTATGAATCTCATTGAAAACATATGCTTTTAAAAAACTTGAGTAATCCAATCAACATATCATAAAGCCCTGACTATATTTTTACTCTGTGTCATTTGGTTTGTGGCCAACGAGAAGCTGGGAAATCGGTGTACTGCTTCCCAGTTTAATACACACACACACAAACACGGGGCTGTGGGGGAAGACATTAAATATTTTCTGATATATCGACTGATATATTGACAAGAAGTGCTGCGTGTATCTATAGAGTAGGTAAGCTCGTTGCAGGACAGACTGTGTAACAGAGGTCAAAACGTGCGACATGTTCACAACTAAACAGACGCACACGCAAACAAGGGACACAAATTCCACCTCAAGCGATGGCCAACCTCTTCCACAGCCACAAAACTATTACAGCTCAGACACGCTCGCATTGCATCAGGTGACCACCTTTGGATGCATGCCCACCCTTCCCCCGCATTGTCTTTGGAAAAACAAATTATGAGCTGGCGTGCTTGCACACCTAAACACACGCGGAAACATGCACAGATTAGATGACACCACTTAGGCCCTTTCTCCGGCAGATGACAGCGGGCGATGACAGCGGGCGTTTGGAGCCGGGTCTCTCCCTATATCTGGTGTCTGGACTGCAGCGTAGAGAACTGGCAAGTCATAAAGATGTCAACAAGTGGAGGCTTGTGAGGGCTGATTGATACAGACACGCCGTTTTGTTCACCATTCGTCCTCTTGCAGCGCTGACTGTGTGTCAGACTGGAACACAATATTTGTCCAACTGTAGTGGGACGTGCACACGGCCAAACACTACAAAGAAAACAGTCTCTAAGTGCTGCCTTCAGGATAAATACTTCAGACTCAGGGTTCACTAATTACTGCAACACACAGGACTCTCTCAACAGTAACCACAGCTCTCTCCAATTTTACAAATGACAGAAGTAACATAATCATACATGTGAGACCACTTGCAGCTTCCTGAGGTTTTATAAAGAAATACTACGACAAGTCAGCCACACTGACTGATCGTACTATTTTAATCAAATTTGTATTAAAGAGGATTACTTAAAGGAGTTTAAAGGTGCTCTTTAATATTCATAAATCATCAAGGCCTTGGGAACTTGGGTATTTCTTTCTGTTGGACTAGCTTTTCCTACATTTAAAGCCTTTTTGGATTAATTCCTTAATTTTTGTGTTTTTTTTTCACAAAATATCATTCTTTGTTAAATCATCGTCCTTTTAAACTGGTGAGTCAGGAAAGGATAGGCAGACTAACATGGTAAAGGGATAGCTAGAGATTAAATAAAAAGGGGTTCCATGGGAAATAATTAGATCAAGAAGAAAGAAGTCAGAAGAAATCATAAAAAAACACATTTTACGATACAATTCTAACCAAAACATTGAGCGTTGGAAGTGCTACATACAATTGGTATATTCTACAGATTTTTAAGAGTACATAGAGACATGTTTATATTGCAGTCCGCCTCTATTTATTTTTTAATAGCACATAACCTTTTGCAAGGACAAGATCCAGGGTTTGCCCGGTTAGGAGATGAATTAAATTGTTTTTCCATTTCTGCATGACGCACACCAACAACCTATCGAATAACCCTCTTTGAGACCATGACTAAAACATAGACATAAAGGAAAAACAGAATGCATGCAGAACGTAGAGATTGAAATGAATCGCAAAGGTGAAGAAATAAGCAAGCAGGTTCTAGAGGAGCAAAGATTGTGGTGCTACTGAGGAAGAAGAGCGTCACCTGTCCTCCTTTTGGCTGGTACTTGATATTCTCTATGGAGCCGATCTTGGACCGGATGTTTTTGAAGTCGGGCAGTGGCTGGTTGATGATGCGCAGCTGCTTGGGGGTGGTTGCAGGTGACTTGGGCGGGGTGCGGACCACGGCTATCTTCCTCTCCTGGGACATCAAGCTGAGGGAGCGTGGGGTTCCAGCGGTCCTTGAGGACGACGAGTAGCTGGGTGGGGTTCCTGGAGTGATGGCCGTGGAACCAGGAGTGCGCGGAGTGGAGTGGCCGCTGCGAGCCGAACGTGAGCGCACCGATTCTGTTATTGGTGGGGAGGAATGAAAAAAGGATGACGGTTGTAACCAAAAAGAAAGGGGAGGAGTATCGAATAGGTGTAATTTGGGGATTTTTGTTTTTTTAAAAGGAGAAATCAGAAAGTTGTTTATCAGAAATAAATGTGTTTCTCTGTCAAATTGTTACGGAAAATTCCTGTAAATTTATGGTTCTCGCACTTTATTTGAATTAAGTTATTTTATCCTCATTTTATGGTTTTTGTTTGGCAGCCGCCACTGCCAGTCTATTTTACATGGTTATGAATACTCTAGAATAATTACACTATTTCTTCCGTAAAAAAAAAAAATTCAAGAAAAAAAATCAAATTTGTCATCATTAGCATAATACTCAAATTTACAGTTGGACTGTTCATTAACAGATAATATCTTTTTTTTACAGAGTTTTGTACATAATTTAAAAAAACAGAAAAAGTATTATTATGTTATTTTTCCGTAAAATTAGGATCTTTTTTTACAGTGTATAATATAGCAATCAATGTTAGACAGTATAGAAAATCCCATCTACCTGTCATGCTATGGGTCCGTCCGGTCCTATGCTCTGCCCTCATCTCTGTGGGAAATGCTAACGGAGGCAAAATAGGGAACGTTTCAGATTAATAAGGCGGATGATGGGGAAGAAAGAAGCAAAGGATGAGAAGCAGATTCAGGGATTCATAAATTCAATCGAGGAAATGAATCATCAGCAATGGTACAGTTTTTGTAGACACTCATACTGGAGGCTGATGTTGGATTTATCTACTTAAATACCAATACTTTGAAAAGTAAGTTGATCAGAGAGCTGCGGCCTACATGTAGGTCTGCGAGGCGCCGTGGAGCTGGAGCTGGTGATGGAGGTGGAGCTCTCTTCGTTGTCATGGTACACCCTGCGACTCAGAATGGAGGCATGGCGCGGCACCGAGGACCTTTTTGCAGGGCTCCAAGACCCACCGTCCTTTTGGGAAACAGACATGAGGTAACTCCTTTGGCCGGCGAGGCTCTGACTCATTTAGTGTTCAACAAATGATACACATATGTTTTTGTGTTCTTTCCTGAACGCTCGCAGCTACGGGGCCACTCTGCCATCGACCTACCTCGGCCACGAGTCTCTGTAATACTGGGAGTCTTTGAGGCTCCGCTGAGGATGGGCGAGGTCTATCTAATGAGGCGGCCACTCTGGATATGGAGGCGGGGATCTTTGTTAGTGGCGAACGATGGATGTGGCACTGAGATAGCACAGTGATGAGGCCCGGTGGCGTGAGTGGCATGGCACCGAAATACAGGACACAGGATGACAAAAGAATGGTGAAAATAACAGTGCTGTAACATGCATTATACGTGCACAAGATCACATCTCCTTCGTGGGATGATGAATGGGATAGTAGCATCATATCTTGTGGGTTCAACATTTAATTACAGCCCTTCACTCCATTCGGGCACGCTCATTGCGAACATGTGAAAATGTTTGAAATGTTTGACATTGAAATGCCAAACAAGAAACATAAAGAAAAAATGGAGAATGTATAAAAGCTAATGCATATTTAAAGTTACAACATACACTGTAACAGACTTATTGAAGACTGTAAATAAAATGCTTGAATCGAAAGTGAATTATAATGTGGGCTCAGAGTAGCAGATCCCTCTTACAGTACACTGTAATGACATGACATTTAAGATACTGTGTTATTTTAGACACAATAACCGTCATCACCATAGTGGAGGATTAAAATGCAGTCACGACCACAGTCGCTGGAGAAATGTCACAGGGTGATGTGAACACCCACTCAGTAAAAAGAAAATGCTCTAAATGGATCTGCCATGTCTACCTCTGCAAAGACCCATTAAACGAGGAAACAATGGCAAACATTTTACATAAAAAGCAAAAGCGACTCACATAAATATTCACAAAATAATAAAAGCGGGGTGATACAGAAACGCAATTCCATGGTTTTCATGCAGGGATTAGGGGTTTGACAGACAGACGGGGGGCAGCACTCGCGTAAACAATATGTAATGTGTTTATCTGAATAGATGATGTGTTTCTCTGCAAGTCACAATAGAAAATATAGACCAGCTTTTAATAAGACTAAATTCCTATGATAACTATTCTGCCTAATTGATGTGGTGTTTATTGTTTTCGAGTCACTAAATACGCAACGCAAGGCAACTTGTGTATTAGTTTCATTATAGTAGCAAGAGGTAAAGATTGAATATGGGTTTTAATTTGCAAATAATGCATTAATTGCAGAGCGTAATACAATGCCTGTAAACGGTCCACAGCATGTTCATGTTTAACAGCCCTCCTTCTCCAAAACTCTTACCAAAAGGACAACAAAAAGCTGCGGGACGGCAGATCTAATGTTAGACACTCCAGTTTCCAAGAGACAGCGCTATCAGTCGCTGACATTTAGTCTGGGTTTCTGTCTCCAGGGTTTGCCCTGATTGATGTTTGTTTAATTGCCCCCGCCCCCTGCCAAGCGACTAGATTTTCCAGGCCAGTAAAAGCTCACTCCGATATTTCTCATTCCATCAATTGGGCTGATGCACTGTACTCACCGATGCTCTGTCGCGAGACTTTCTGGCAACACTCAGAGGCTGACGGGTGTCCAGCAGCCCCTCTGAGAGAGAAACGGAAACAAAAAAGAAATATCACCACCCAGAGAGAATTCACGTTTAGACCGTCGGGAGCTTTTTGTGCTTTAACATTGAGCACATTTGGATGTGTTTGTATGGTCATAGAAAAATACAACCTATTACCAAACCAGGCATGGAGAGCTATATGACAATATATATTTTTATATATAAGGAAACCCTGCTAAACAGTGTAATTGGGGCATGCAGCAGTACACTGAGCTTCCATCATCAGTGACACAGAATTCAGCCTATGAGGGGAAAATGTGCAAACTGCCTCTTCGACAGGGTCTTTATAGTATCGGGTCCATAGAACGAAACCACAACAGAGTGGGTGGGAGAGAACAGAGAGGTCAGATTTTCTTCCTAGTTATTTCACACCAAACAATCAATCAGGCAACGTTAAAATGATGATAAAATAATTATGAAATATTAGTATATCAATGTGACAGAGCAACAGACCACCATTAAGTCACAGTGAAATTAAAAATGAATGGTTGGAGCTTGTGAGGAAGATGCATTTTAAGAATCTTAACACCAGCTGAGAATCTTGTTTTTGCTGAGGTTGCAGCAATGATGTTAAAGCGCACTTCGAGAATGTTCCGCGAATGCTTAAAGCCCAACTTGGTGTTAAGTTTCTCTTAAAAAAAGCGAAAAGACGAAAACAAATGAAATGACATTTACATTTTATTGTGATGAAATACAACAACAAAAGCAAACCATGCTAACCAATAAAACAAACTGGATGACAGAACCAGCTTGAAGCCGACAGTGGAGGCAAGCAGACCAAGGCGAAGAGTCACCTGTGGCTCTCCTTCGAGGACAGGAGTGGTGCTGGGTGGGCCTCATCGCACTCCTCTTCGATGGGGATTTGGTAAGTTCGGCCTTCCTTATCACAGCTACCAGAGGGAACGGGCCGTTGACAAAAGCAGAGACACGACAAAGAGCAGGAGCAGAGACTGAACCCTCTGTAAATATGGAATGCTTTTCAGTGGTGGAACAACTGACCCAAAGTCTGCACATCTTTCGGCACAAACAGGTGTTTAGAGAAACAATAAATACCAATTTGTTGTACTTTTAGTACTAGGCATATGATGAGGGGTTTAACGACCCTCCAAATCCAAATTGTTTGGTGTTTACTTGACAGTCCTGAGTGTGGTGTCATGCAATACTCATAAATATGATGGGGAACCTTTTTTCTTGGGGATTTCTTCTCGGGGGATGAAGACAGGTTCTTTGCGGAGAGGTTTGCGTTCCGGTGTGGACATTCGGCCCTTAGCCCGTCCTCCTTTGGCCTTTGGCTTGATTGTTTTTTCTCGTTTCTCTGTTTTCCTTTGTTGGGTATGCTTGCTCTGGACCACAGCAGGCTTTTTGACTGAGCTGGGCACCTTTGGCAAAGGCTCGATATGCTCTGTCGCCGTACTCTTATCATCATCTGCAGTGTGGCAAAGGATAAAGGAGAAAGACATGAGGCAACATCAATGTGTGTAAGTGAAGCAGAAGAAGAAAGAATTGGGGGTGGAAAGAACAATGACCACAAAAAAGATCTCACCTTGTGTGTCAACCCAGGAGCTGTCCAGGATGGAGTCGTCCATCGTAGTTTCATCTCTGTCGTAGCTCTCTGTCGGGGCATCAGTGTCTATGGTTTGAGCCTCCTTCCCAGGGGAGGCCGGGGTCTCAAGAACATCCACCACCTCCTCTACACTTGCAGCCTCCATGTCTGGTTCTTGGGCCAACTCCACAGACTCCTCCTCTTCTTCCTCCTCCTCGTCCTCCTCTTCTTCTTCTTCTTCCGCTTTCTGGGAGGCAGCACAGAGAACTTGAGCCTCGGGTGAACCAGAGAAACGAACGCTGTGTCCCGGCTCTTCTGCTTCATCAATGGTCTGGACCACGGTGATGAAATCGTCTTCAACTGTCACCACTGATTCGATGGCAGCTCGGGTTTCTGGGATCTCCTTTACCACCGCTGGCCCTGCTTCATCTGACACCTCTTCCCTGCCTTTATCTTGCGCCTTTTCAGCCTCCACAGATTCTTCAGCTTCTTTCTCCACAGGTTTTGCAGCAATTTCTTCCTCTGGTTGCTTCGCCATCTCCTCGAGCTTCTCTGCAACACTTTTGTCCATCTCAGCGGCTTTCTCTTTTCCTTCCTTCTCTTTCAGATCCATTTCTAGCTTTTCTCTTTCTTCCTTCTCTCGCAATTCTTTCTCTATTCTTACTTTTTCCTCTATTTCTCTCTGCTCTCTTTCCTCTTTCCGTTTCATCTCTTCTTGCTCCATCTTTTCCCTCTCTTCTTTTTCTTTCTTGTCTCTTTCTTCCTTTTCCTTATTGTCTCTTTCTTCTTTCTCCTTTTCTTTCATGTCCTGCTCTTTCTCCTTCCTTTCTGTCTCTTCCTTTAGGATTCTTTCTGCCTCTTCCTTCTCTCTCCTTTCCCTCTCTTCTATCTCTTTCATTTCCTTTTCTTTCCTTTCTGCTTCTTCTCTGATCTTTATCTCAGCCTCTTCTTTCATTTCCTTTTCTTTCTTTTCTGCTTCTTCTCTGATTTTTATCTCAGCCTCTTCTTCCATTTCCTTTTCTTTCTTTTCTGCTTCTTCTCTGATTTTTATCTCAGCCTCTTCTTTCATTTCCTTTACTTTCTTTTCTGCCTCTTCTCTGATTTTTATCTCAGCCTCTTCTTTTATTGCCTTTTCTTTCTTTTCTGCCTCTTCTCTGATTTTTATCTCAGCCTCTTCTTTCATTGCCTTTTCTTTCTTTTCTGCTTCTTTTCTGATCTTTATCTCAGCCTCTTCTTTCATTTTCTTCTCAGCTGCCTCCTTCTCTTGCTCTTCCCTGATTTTTCTTTCTGACTCCTCTTTTTCTTTGTTAATTCCTAACGCTGGTGAAACAGTTCTTTTGGGGGAACCATACACTTCTCTTTGTTTAAGCTTTGAAGGTGAGAGCACTGGAGAGAGCAGCTTATCATCATCGATGTTGCTATCGACGGACGAAGCAGGTGAGGTTTTGATAGGCCTCGCAATCCGGTCCTTGGCCACACCGGTCAGCTGGTACACATCTTCGGCATCCACTTCCTCATAGGCTTCCTGGTGGACCAGCTTCACTTTCTCACGAAGCTCCTGCAGTTCTCTCTCCTCCTCCATACTGAGAGGCCTGTCCTCCATCTCCAATTTGCGGATCTGCCTCTCGTAGTCGGCAATCTCCGTTTCTGACGCCGAGCCTTCGCCGCTTGCTTGTCGCTCGGTGTCGCTGAATGACCTTCCGCCTTCTTCTAGAGTAACAGTGACCGTTGGTGTCACAAAGGACTCACTTAGCTGAACCAGTGGCATCTCGTTAACAGATTGTTTTGATTCTTCATCTACAACCTTGCTCTTCTCTTCAGCAGAATCTTTTCTTTCTGCTTTTTCTTGGTCTTTCACTTCAGTGACATCAGCAATTCCTGATGGCTGGCTCGTGTCCTCCAAAGATGTGTCTCTGACTGCTAATTTCCTGGCTTGCTCAGCCACTTTTGCCTCCAGGACTGAGTGGGTGAAGGCCTGTGGAGAAATGTTTGTTGGGCTCAACACATCTGCCGGTGATGGCATTGGTCCTGAATATTCACTAAACACACAATAGCCCATCTCCTCCAGCTGGCTTTCATTCCTCCTGGTCCCAGTACTAAGTTCCTCCGAAACAAGGCTGCACAGTGGGTCGTCTGTGAAGGCTGAAAAATCAGCTTGAATTGACTTTCTCCTGGTGAATTCTGGTTCAGTGTTGTCTGATGTGAGTCTGGAACGGGTACCAGCAAGGTCCAGCATCTCAGGTAAGTCTTGCGCCATCACTGTGCCATTTTTATAGGTGCTCTGGAATGGCTCTGGTGATACTGGCGAATCCGGTTCAGGGCTGGGTTTTGAAACTGGTTCAGAGGTCCTTGGAGGAGATGAGGTATCTGAGGTGATGGAGGCCGCAGTCTCCAAGATCAGAGGAGGCAGGGATGGAGGATTATTCACAGAGGGTGTGGTGACTGGAAGGTAGTCTGCTGACTCATCTAGACTTCCACTGGTGTAAGACATGATATCTGTGGCAAGTGGGGAGAAGTTCCTAGGTCTTCCTTGGCCACTTGGATCCGTTGCTCCAATAGTAATGTTAAGTGAGTAGCTCCTCTGCTCTAAAGCCAGTTTGCCCGGGGAAAGCCTGCATTCATTACTCCTGTCAGGAACTGTGAACACTGTATTGGCTGGCTTAGGGTTGGATTTATCCTGAGCTTCAGCTAGTGTGCTGTAACTCATCTCCTGAGGCCTGGCATCAACCATAATCTTCTCTTCCCCAGATCTGCTCAGTTCGTAATAGCCTTCGCCCTTACTTTGGGGAGCCACGTCAACCTCCATGGCTGATGTTTCAAAATATGCTGACATGCCCGATCTGTCTGTAGTGTCCCTTGTTGAGTCTTCTCCTTGAACTTTGGGTACCTGTGACGAGGAATCAGGAGGAGCACCAATGCTGCCGATCTCCACCACCTCCACTGACGGCTGTTTCTCTGACACTGTGATAGGCTCGCCATAAGTAGGCTGAAGCGTGAGTGGTCTGGCAGCTTCTTTGGCCTGGGTCTGGACGTTGGGGGGATCGAATGATGGCATATCCATGGTGGGGCTCTCTGGTACAACTCGTTCACCAGCAAAGAACCCTTGCATCTGGGGCTCATTAAACTCCTCTGGGCGTTTCTCCGATCCAATGCTGTCTGGGCTCATGGAACCACTTTTCTCGCTTCCCTGCTTGTCTGACTCCATCTTCAGAGCTGAAAAGACACCTGTAAGTCTGCTGTTTGTATCAACATGGAAAAGTAATGCTTTGGCATGCTGCGAGTGAGATATTTATTAAGCTAGGGACTGGGAAAGCGGTTATAACAGAAACAGGCAAAGCTCTCCTCAGAAACTTACAGAACAATGACACGGCCATCACGGAAGGAATACGGCGAGATTATTGGGCCCACCAAGTCACAGATGGATCAGAATATGGCATGGTATGTGACGGAACCGGCATGAGGCGACTTCAATGCTGATTCATGGGGAAACAAGCAATAATAGATGGGATGGATATCCATGCGACTTTTCAAACATCAGATGACAAAACAATAGCATTTCTGTCATTCTTTATAGTTACAGTGGAAGCCGCTTAAAGTGAATTCAGCTTGCAGCATTTATCAATATGTTTCAGATTTACTGTCGTCATATTTTGCCTTACAGTTGCTCGTATAATTTCCACTCGCTACTTGAGGTTTTAAGCATTTAATTAAAAGCATCTGTGGTTTGAAGCCCAATACGAAACAGCAGAAGCTGTGTTTCATGTAGCACTACTGTATTTGTAACAGTCAATACAATTCTGTAAACTGTCTGTTACCTTATATTATTTAAAGAAAATATTGTATTAGTAAGATGATGATATGAATGAGAAAATGAAGTCAAAATGAATAGTGATCAACTTAACAGACAAGACCACTGTAAGAGGTTTCCACTGCACAATGAAGTGTAATGACATATTCCCCAATATTAATATTTTATTATTATTTACATACCATTAATTTTGGCTAATTAAAAAGTAATTTAATTTGTCTTTAATCCAAATACTATTGGCATAATGAAGTACAACCTTTCTATTGAATGACAGAAAAATGCCATAAAAAGAAAACAAACTTTGCTGATATGAATGCATTTGATGAGACAGTAAAACCACAATTGACGTGAGAAAGCCAATAAAAGAGATCCTGTAAATGAGTGACCCATGGTTAGAAAGTATGATTCATGGTAACGAAAAGTGCTCCGCCCTTGCAAACCAGCCTCAAGCCACTTGTAAACACAACAATAAACCTGTAAGCTTAGAGTCGGCGGAGAAAAGCACTGCTACGTTCACTTCATCATACTAATACGAAACAGTGCTGAAAACCACAGGAAGATAAAGAAAAAAGAAAAAAAGCGCAGAGGTAGCACAAAATAAAACCAGGTTAAGTTAAAAAAAACGTGACTTTTTTCACCAACAAGCCTGTGTTGCCTCGCAGCCACAGCAGAGCACAATGAGGATTACTTGCCATTCCACCTGAATGATAAAGCTTTTTGTGCTTATGGGTTCTTTTTGACACATCTGGTGTTCTTATGCAGTGGACAATACAGTAACATGCAGGCAGGGAGAGCAGAGGGCAGGACACACCTGTCTCAGGGCTCCCCCCAGCCTCTGCTTCCTCCTTCTCCTCTCTGTCCAGAGAGCTTTCTGCAGCAGCTCTAGCTGCCTCGCCCGGCTCCAGGTCTACATCCTGGGCCTCGCCTACGGCCTCTGCCTGCTCTAAGGGCTCAGCTTGGAGGCTGTCCAGCTCCAGCTCCTCCCCGCTCCACTGCTGCTCATCAAGAGCTTCCTCCGACTCTGCTGCTTCTGCACTCTCCTCCTCCTCCTCCTCCTCCTCCTCTTCCACCTCCTCCTCATATTCAGCTGTAAGAGCCTCCATGGTCTCTTCTTCTCAAAAACAGGGTGAGAGGGGGACACATTAAGACTACAGGCAACACAGACTTGGGTTATGTGAGAACACAACTTATGAAGGGACACTTTCAGCTCTGGGAAAAGATGACCTACAATGTACGTTTGTTCACACATATAGGTACATTACACATATAAAACAGAGTGTAGTGTGTGGGGGGTTGTTCATTTATTTTGCGTGCTTTTCTAATCCGCAAATAGTGTTCACCGTGTGCCAAAGAAACCTTTATTTACTGTAAAAAAAACATTTCCTTTTCAAGTTGTCTTTGGAAGGCCGTGCCTTCAACCCACATTGACAACTGAGGTTGTTAAAGGAAAATGGAAACATAAATGAAGTGCCAGCACGGCACTATTGTGAAGGCCATGAGGTGGTCAGGCCATTTCTAAAAGGCCCGGCTCTTTGGAAGTGCTGCAGCACATTACAGCAGTGCCTCAGATTCTTGATATTGCACAGACTGAATTTTTAACCGTGCAATGGACAATGCGGGTTAGCATACAGCTTTTCTTTGAGCAGCCATTACTGAAATAACATGGTAAGTTACTGTGTAACTACACTGATTCTATTTAGAAGCTTTGCAGCTCAGCATTGCTGAACGCGACATAGACGTTAGTGAAAACTGCGGCACCAATGGGGGAAGCTGGTGGGGGTTAAGAATCAGACTACTTTAGGACTATTTATAAAAATGATGGCGTGACAAATTAATCAACGCTTACAAGGCCAAATAACAATATGACTGGTGACTGACGAACAATGTGACATATAATGTTGTAATGCGTATTCAGAGTTGTAAATGAAGTAGTTTTTCTCTGTTGAAACTCTTCGTTGCCCACTAAACTGGATCTTGAGTTTCTAAAAACAAAAGACGAGGAAAGTTACATGCAGGTGTAAGTGTCTGCCAGTGAGTGGAGCTGAAAGTCTTCCCTGATGCCAAAGTGAGTGGATGACAGTAACTCAGGATGTGTGTAGAGGGTTTGATATGGTCCAACTAAGAGGTTGAACGCTAATTCTAAGAAATAAACCAAAACATAACACTGGGAAATGATTGATGCAGAGGGGTTTTTCCACGGAGGTCATCAACAATCTCTGAGTTATTCCCGAAAGCCATTTGGACGTTGCACCCCAATACTAAATCTTGGTGGCCTTGAGGTCTTACTGATGAGAGCTGTAATGTATTATGTCCATGTCCATACTCGGACTAAACAGCATGGCAACCACAAGTAGCGTGTCTTTGGGTGAAATAAATGATTTAAAAAAAACAGATGACTGTGAAACAAAAAAGACAAACCTCACAAGGACACACAAACGCACGATAGGACGGATGAATAGACGAACCGACGGACTGACGGACGGAGAGAGACAGAAGGACAAGAGGGATGGAGGGTAGGAGGTCAAATCACAGAAGGAAGGAGAGGAATTCAGCGGCAAAATGAGAACGGAGAGAAACAGAGTGAGAGAGAGAGAGAGAGAGGGGGGGGGAGGGAAATGGCAAAGAGGAACCATGCGTGGTTCACCTTCAATCTGTCTAAAGGCCACGGCCTGCCCTGTGGGCCGAGAGCCCGAGTGCGTCCACTCTGGGCTGAACAATGGGTGATCATAGTACTCCTCGTCGGAGTGGTACGGGTCGTCCTCGGGCACGGAAACTGAGATGGAGGGGGCGAGGAACTTGCACCTCTCCCGAGAATTTTGGAAGCGGCGGAGAGGGCCCGCCTCCTCCTCATCCCCTACATCTACAAACAAGACAGACACAAGGAGAAGAACTGCAGGGAAATCTGGACACAGGGACCGAAAGAGAGGGTGAAGAGGAAGGAAAAGGTGGAAAGGAAAACTGAAAAGAAAAGGAAAACACAACAAAGAATGTCCATCTTAATGCTGAATTTACATTGTCTCTCAATCTAGTTTGATTTAGAAAACAGTAATAGAGGGGCATTGAAGAGAATTTGGCAATTTTAGTAAAAAAAAACAACATTATTATTATTTTGAACTTTAACGCCAATTGAATGCACCATCTGCATTTGCACAATGAATTATGGATTGTGAAGCATGTCTGTTGTGTATATAATAAAAGTTAAAATATTCATGGAAGCATGGTTGAAGCATGGCTGTAAATGTAGTAGTAGATCCATTGCAAAGAGTGTACTCTTTATATTCTTCTGGTTTTACTTTATCTCCGTAGTTGCATGTTATAGCTGTGAGACGATTCTTGATTATAATACCAAATCAGTAGTTGAACGATAACCTCAAGTTATTACTTAAGATGGACATTTTTTAAGGAGAAAGGGGAGTTAAAGCTTGAGGTGAAAAAATGGCTTCAACAAAAACGATTCAAATTTAAAACAAAAACGCAGAGAATCACTAGAGAGGGGGATGCAAGAAGAGGACAAAGCTTGAATGAGAGCAAGAGAAACACAACACACAGGACAGCGATAAGGAGACGGTGACAAGCAAATCAAATGGGGAGAAGCTTCGGGGCCCAGACCTACTCTGCGACAAAAAAAAAGACTATATTGCATCGTTTGAAGAAGCTAACAATACAAACCGCTTCACGAATGAATGATTCAATCTAAATAAAAGACATACAACACAGACACTAAGAACAACAACTAGGATACCAATACAGTATAGTTGTAGCAGTGACACAATCATTATCGTGTGTGTTTTGCCACTGGCATTACAGGAAGAAGCCCCTCTCCCATAACAGAAAACCTCAAGAGACACAGCTAATCCTCTTTTTAACGAGTTCAGAAACATAATATTAGAAGAACAGCATCTCTAAGGTTGTGACTGAGCCTTTCAGGACTGAACCGAAGTGTTTTTGACCACTAACACAATGAGGCCGCAGTGTTCCCACAACTGACCATCTACATTTGGTGCATGACTGGACTACATCTACTCCTCCTCATTATGGACAGGAAGACACAGACGGCATACAGCAGACTGACCCTTTAGTTACACGCTACAACTATTTTTTACAGGCAGTTGCAAAAAATCAATGCAGTTCTTAAACTATGATTTAGAAGATGAAGAACCAAACTGTATCGTGCACACACACACACACACATATCAAGACTACATTGTTACAGTTGTGGTAAATGTATCATACGAGCTCATTACTTTTATTGCTAGGTTTCATTCTTTGGGTTCAGCTTCATTCTTTGCGTTTAGCTTGAAGACAGATATGCTTTCAAGTAATGTTCGTAGCGCTACAATCCTGATCCGTAGCCCCGTCCACCGACAAAAGAGACATGAAAAAAAAATACTGACAAAGGGCAATCACAAGAAAACACAACACCATGACTAAACATGCAAAAGAACCAAAACGACAGACAACAAGTTGGAGGGCTACCTAATGTGGCTGTCATACTAGTGTGTCGGAAGTCGAGGTACGGATGTTAGAAAAGGAAAATGGAAGAAGAGGATGAAAAAAAAGAGTGCACTTGTTGTATTCAAGGTAGTTGTGCAGGTGGGCGCTCTTTTTCTTTTAGGTATAAACCGGGATGACAATGAAGATACGGATTGTATCCAGGTGTACGATGAGGAGGAAGCAGGATTCAAAAACAAAATGAATGTCTGAAAAATGGAAAACGTGTTCCTGCTTTTTAGCAACTCTTTTGTGTACAGGTTTCATGGATGGGTACCAATGTGTGCGTTGTCCCCTGTAGGTGTGGCATGTCCTGATAGGGGGGATTTAAATACTCCCAGAGCCAACCAATATCAGTACTCCAATGTGGTGGCGATCACAAAACTCCAAGGCTTCCGTTGGAGAAAAGAAGGACACCACAATCTCCTCTGTTAGAGACACACACTCTAAAACACACTTATCGCATTCTTGGCCTACCTTGTTCCAGAGGACCAAAGTGCTGCGCTGCCGGTGATGGGGGGGGAGAGGGAGGCAAATTTGCGGTGTCTTCAACTTCACAGGGCAGATGAGGAAAGGGAAGAAACAGTACTAGTCATGAATGATCACATATTGTAACGGACTTTGAGTGTCTGCTTCCATTCATTTCTATACAACTAACTTTTACCACTGAAAAATCTGTGTTGTATTCGAAAGCTTTGTAAAAAATTAAGCAAAAAAAAAATCTACTTTGTTTTCAAAACCTACGGTTACCCACAAAGCCTGGTGTACGCTTACTGGCAATGATTGTTTCATTTGTAAACATGCTGTCCTCCCATGATGCAGTTTGTTTTGCGTCTTTCCTCAAAAGGTGAATTAAAGTGAAAATATTTAAATATCAAAAATGAATGTATTTGTGCGAGAAAGTGTGTCTTACCGGATGGCAGCCGCTGAGTCTCCTGCTCTCCCTTCAGTACCGCCACTGCCTCTGCCGTCACTTCCTGCACGATCCGCGCCGACACTTGCTCTGAACATAGACACACGCACGCACACAACGGGGTCAATCAACTCATGGGATTTCTGACAAAAGAAAACCTTTGAAGAGGTGGACGAGGTTGGAAGGTTTTAGTTATTCGTGTTGTTTGAATCCCAAAATGGCTGGAAAAAAAGACAAATCCAAAGCGGCTCCTGTGCGTCAAGGTGTTTGTACTGGGTGCCATCCAGGTTTCATTCAACATAATAACTACGTGAGAATGTCAAGCAGGGTCATTCCTTCTCCGGATTGAAGCTAAAAAAAAGGTCGGCCGAAGGACAGATTGTAAAAGGAATTTTTGCTTTTTCATATTGTGCACATTATTTGGTTTATATCAAATAGACTTGAGTTGACTGTCATGGGTTTTACCAATGCCGACATGCGCTTTACTTTAGGGTGTTTTTTTGAATAATGTCATCATGACCTGCGATGAAAGCCCTGTGAGGGAGCTAAAACCGTAACAGCAGGGATGCTAGGGCTCCTGGTGAAGGCTGAGTGTTGCTATGGGAACCCAGCATCCCTAAACAAGAGCAGACTAAAACGTAAACCCCGGTTGTTTAGATACTGCAAAGCAAAATGTGTCGTTTTACATTCTTCAAGACTTTATTACAGGGAGAAGAAGAGGAAAGGACAGAGGGTTTGACACGCAACAAAGTGTCCCGCCCGAAACAGACAATGGAGGTTAGTGTGAGATCAAGTGAGCTATTTGATGCTGTTGGATATGTTCAGCTGTTTGAGAAACTGTAGACTGTGAATGGGTAGACTGCAGATACACTTCCTCTTCTGCCTCTTTGATCTGTTCAAGGTGAATCTGAGTGGCCGTTTTACTTTGCAGATAGACGATATTCATACAATTGTACACTGAATTCAGTCTCAAGGTATTTCATTACAATACTAGTGCCAATATTGAGAAAGCGAACACTGTAGGCAACAGCATCTAGAAGAAGACAGTACCAAAAAGGTCTCAAAACGCTACTTACCAAGAGCAAGAAGTGTGTCAATTTAAAGGAAATGTTAATTTTATTAAGTATATACGTATGTCCTTTCATAAATGGGGTTTTGTGAATAGATGTGCAGTTTCGGCAATTAAGCCTCCATGTAAAAGCTGAAATATAACATGGAGGGGTCAAACCCTGACTCATTAGCATATTAACAGTGGTCATGTGGGATCGGGTGGCAGTTTAATACCTTACTGCTGCGGTTTCAGGACCTCTTTCTATCCGACATCGCCCACACAGCAACACAAACAGGCTGGCAGGCATTCACACATGTAATTACAGACACACACATACACACACACTTCTTCCGAGAACGATTATCACAGCCCACTCACAGCAGCCATTTTCCATTTTCCAGAGCATTGTGTAACACACATAAACCACCTTTTTATATGGGAAATATACAGCTGAAAGGCGAAACAAATGCTTGCCACAACAAGAAGTAAATACAAATTTTGGAAGTAAAATGTTGCAGTTTAAAAAGAAAAAAACATTAGAAGGTAGTGTATTAGAGATGGTGAACAAGGAAAGCTTCAGCTACCCTGTCATTGAAACATTACATAACCGAAAACAACATGGTGATCAGTGGCGGAGTGGTGAGGATCGGGGAGAATCACCTAATGAAAAATGTACGGCTCGTTCAAAACTAATCCTGGCTCAACAAAACTAATCCGCTTCTAAAAAAGAAAATTTTCTCTTTCTCTAAAGTTTCTTGAGGTCACAGACTCGTGACTCAGGCTTGAATTCAGTCAGGGTTTAAAGCAATGTTTTTTGAATAGAACATATTTTGCCATTTGCAGTGTGTTGGGATTACAGTGGAGAAATGCAGCCCTTTCTCGATTAATTATAACACAGATTAGGCCATTGTAACATCTATAGGATGTATTGAAGTTCAAAACTGACAAAAGGAATGTCTTAAAAACTCTTGGCTTTATGTGACTAAGAAGTGACATTCTTAAAAAAAGATGAAGAAAACTCACCTGGACCTGGTCTAACCTCTTCATGCGCATGCCTTGGAAGGGTAAAAAATAAATGCAGTCTACCTTCAAAAGCAATAGACATTCACGTCAACGGATGCATCTCTGTACACAATGACCATGTCTCATCCACAAGGCTAGCTGGAGGTTCCAACGAAGCCAATGGAAGACTGCCATGTACCATGTAAGCCAAATGCCGCTTTCATACCCAGAAAGGTTTCATCATACCTGCGTAACTACTACACAACTACGCTATTATCGACAATAAGAGCTTAGACACACTAAGACACACTCACCCGATGAAGTAAAAGCGTGCGTTACCTGCAAGACAGGCCGACCGAAGCTGAGAATGCTCCGTCTCTGAGCAGAGACCTCGACTGGAAGCCCCGAGTCAAAGCAACACACAGCCGGCGATGCGCACACACACACTCACACACGCACACGCACACACAGCAGGACTGAGGGGGCAATGACAGAGCAGGAGTGCCAGTTGGTATGATACCAGTCGGCACCAAGAAGCGTGGTAAGCAAGTGGTTGCCATGGCAACAGACCAGTGGGACGCTAATTTGGGACCTCTCAGCCTTCAGTGGAGGAAAGGATGGCTGCGACGTGGCTGATCGCTCAAGGCAATGTTCCTCCTATACGTGCCATAATTAAGTGAAACCCAGAAATGTGCCTGCTGAAACATATTTATTTTTCCCTTTATCTTTAAACCCCAAACTGTGTGGAAAAGTGTGTATTTTTCTATCGATTCATAATGAAGATGCAACAAATTAAATAGAAGGTCTGTCCAGTGACGAAACCGTCCGCATATGATTGTAGGATCACTTAACAGGATCAAATACAATTTCGCGGGAAAGTTTCTTTCTTACAGTGCCTCCTTGTTGGCAGCGTCTCAGAGATGACCACTTTCACTAAACCTGTTAGCATTAATATTTATTTATGTCAACTTTATATTTCATTTACCTAAAATTGGGTTTCTCCGTATTGAAATTTTTCCCCACTAATGATTCCTCCAATCATAAAACCCACCCTCTGTTGTTCTTCCAGTGTGACTACATTTGTTTTTTTGTGTAGTACTATCCAAATGAAGTGTGGAAGAATAAGTGTTTGGTATATTACAGCATAAAGCCATCTGAGGTAAAGTTCACAATGTTCGTTTGTGTCCATACTTCACATCAGAGCTTCATTTCTTCAAATCATCGTTCTTCTGCACTCAATCAGACCGATTTAGGCTGATGAGATGAAGGGACTTCAACCACAGAAATCCTGCCCAGGCTTCTTCATAGTGTAACTAGATACTTGCTCAACCGCCCAGACATCAGTCAATGCCATATCCCTAACAAAACACAAAGACTCACAAGGAATCAATCTCCAGAATTAGCTCCACATCCATTGCATTGTTTCCATTTCAATTAACTCACTTTGTTTCTTTCTGTCTCGCTTCCTCCATCTTTTTCTCTTGACCACATCCAGTGTGGAATGACTTTTTCAACTTTGACTCGATGAAAAGTCAAGAGGGCAATTTCGTGCCTCAACAGCTCCATTTGCGTCTGAAAAGCTTTGAAAAGAGCAGGCCGAGTGCTAACGTCAGTTGTTATGTCTCCCAATCAGCCGCAGTTACTCCTGCCCTGTTCTGCAGGAATAAAGATGCACGGCGACTAAAGGCTCTACAGAAAGTCCCGGTTACGCAGCCGTTGTGACAATAATTCACTTTTATGCTGATAATTACACTCGCAGTACATGGCTGTTGGCCTTTTGTTTTAGAATTGTGTGTATTGAAAGTGTAAATATTTGTTGGTAATCTTCTTACTTGATCTCATGATCATGTTCTGTCACGTTTGCTTTGCTGTCCGGTGGGAAACAAATCTGTCAACCAGTTCTTGAGGCTGATCTTGTACATCTACAGGATGGATATAGGGTCAGTTCTACTTGCTGATGAGGACCACGAGGAGGAAGTGAAGGCACACTTTTTAATTCTGGTCTAAAACTAGATCACTGGTTTTCCCTCAGTGAAAAAAATAATACTGTTTTCTAGTTGGTATCAGTTTCCTACCATTGCTTTGAAGTTGGAAGGAGGCTATTTACGGCTCTCATATTTTTGAAATAATAATGACCCAGAGGAACACATGAGGTCTTTGCCGTTTCTTATTATGTTCGACCACTTGGAATTAAAAGTAATAAACAACAAATAATATGAACTACTGGTGGCACAAGAAACACTGCAATTATTGTGCATATATTGTCAGGACTATTCTGATGTAAGAAAAGTAATGTGATGGAATTGAGTATAAAGATGAATTACTATTTAATTTTATTAATTTATTTTATAAAATTATATTTTATCAGACAGATCTCGACCCACACTGAGTCGGTTTAATGAGATGAAATCACTGAAATCGGAGTTGAATTGATATGAAAGTCCATTTTTCCAAATAAAACCAACGAGAAGGGCTCTACAGGTGTGAATACACGGAAGAGCACAAGTTGTATGAAATGTAAAAAACAACAAATATTTCAAATATACGCTATGCAATTGGATGAAAGGCTTCAGATAATTCACTGTGCAATTTCTTTTGTGACTTTTCTGTGCCACAACAGAGGCCGTGCAACATGTTGACAACAGTTGACATTTACAGGTAACTCAAAAGTGTCTACCCACACATTATTGTCACTGCAAAACTTGTTGACCCATTTGTGGGGACTGTTGTCCAACAGAAACCGAATCCACAACTACGTAAGAAGCTTGTCGAAGTGAAGTGTTAGTTGGTTGAAATAAACGTGGTAGTTATAAAGACACTATCTCTCTCTCTCTTTCTATATATATATATAAATGTAAAACAAATGGGTGTGAAGAGTCTGATCACCCTGATTCTTTTCTTTACACACTCTTAATTGTCATATGGGTATGAAAATGGTAAATGAGCAGCAATATTAAAAAAATACTATTAACAGGTGCCACACGCTAAATGTTTTTTCCTGAGGTAACGTTAAGTTACAAGCAAAAAGATCAAAAGCCCTGGCAAAGTCAATTATTGGGGAGCTGTTTCCATGGTTACATCGGTACATTACTGTCTTTCTTCCAGGGGGGGACAAAGACCAATTTCATGTTAATTATAGCACTGTTATTAACAGTTTGTGAGTCGAGTGAGGACTCGGAGTGCTGCAAACCCACGCACAACAAGAGCCATGACACACACACACGGACATTATCAGGCACAGACACTCACATATACACATAAAACCACATCACACAAACACTCAGAAGTTGTAGACAAAACACACACATGCCCTTACACTCTTTAACACATAGAAACACAAGTAAACACCAAAAAAACTGTACATTGGATGGAAGGATAATGCCTTGATGTGTCAAATAGAAGGTGTATGAGAGGAAAACAGACCACTTTGGGCCCTGCTAGGCTAAGCTGGCTGCTAGGCTACTTCCATCTCAACATCTACCCTGCATGGCACACGGTCTGCAGAGGACCACTGTGTCCCTAAAAGGACAGTGGTTTGGAAACCGTCCTGGCTAAATGTCAGAAGAGTCACTGGTTCAACGTATATAAATAAAAACATTATATATATATATATATATATATATATATATATATATATATACTAACATACAGTGAATATCAAAAAACGAGTAGATGCCAAATCGTCTGTTGTAATATAAAACTGAAAAACGTAAACATGTCATACCTGCAGTTATAGCGGGGGCACCAGTTAGCTCCCCATTGAAACCATTTTCCCTGGCAGAGTAGGGTCCTGTGGCCATGTGGGCCCCACTGGGCTGGCAGGTCCTGTAGGCGGTGGAGGGGAAGCCATTGGCTCCGTGGTTGCCTGTGGCCTCCTGCCCCCCTGATGGGTCCCACTGGGGGGCACCGTCTTCTGGCTGTCGACTGTCTGCCATGCTGGTGCGAGCTAGCAGCAGGGGGAGGTGGGCAAAGGTTGGGTTCTCTCCTTCTGGCCGAGACAAGGAGAGAAAAAAAAGACAAAGGATGGTAAAATCAGTCAGTCTTATCAACAGCAAATTGCCGTAAAGCAGAGTGAAGGGTGTGGCGGCCAGAGGAGGCTGCAGGATCGGTGACATTCACAAACCTCCTCAGTCAGTCATGATCCCGGCTGCAGCCTCGCTGAGCCTCCCTGTCAATAATTCTGAGTTTGCGTGTAGGCTGTTGTGTGAAACACCGTCCCTGGGTTTTAGCAGGCAGGTGACAGCAACTGGATTAAACCCTATTGATTAGTTTATATTCATTGACTCAAATAGCCAGTGGCCCAGGTGGAAATCACAACTCGTTGAAAATGAACGGAGCTGACCTTTAATTTGTGTGACTGTGACAGAGTTGCGGAGACGTAAGGTCGGCTCTGATCAGACTGACACGATCCAGTTCAGTTTCGGACAAATGCTCACAAAGCTGTTTATAATCCAAACTGTAAAGATTCCCAAAAGAAAGAATGTCCCGCTGCACACACTTGTGTGAGGGGCGTGTGTGAACAGATATGTCCCGTGTTGATCAGGACCTGTACATGTACTGTACATGGAATCCCTTGTTGAAAGCAGATGACTGATCAGAACAGCATGCAGAGGGGATCAAGCAAAGGAATGGAAATATTGATCGAACCCCAGAATCCCCTGCGGCGGCACCCCGCAAAATAAACTAAAATAACAGATGAATGGGTTTGATGTAGATAAGATCAATACACAAGGTTATTGATGTGAACACTTTAACTGGGGCTCTGCTCCTCTTCTGTCGATATTAAAAAGAAAAGCTGGATATGTTTTCTGAGTATTTTACGTTTAAACTTCTTTTCAGAGATGTTGATGTTGATTGAAGCACAAAGTGTGAATTTGGAGCCGTCTTTGGCCTTCAAACAATCAAAGGAACCTGCCATTGGTGTGAAAGTGCAGTCGCAGAAAGAGACAACGTAGGATTGTCGCTGGTGTACTTCATGCATTTTCTGGGCAGCCTTTGTAGTCTTGCATCAGGGAACGTGTGAAGGAGCAATTTGTCATTTAACTCTGCAGTCCACAGAGACTCGGAGACTGGAGGGAAGTCGGCTGGAGAAAACAGGAGTCAATGACTGCGGCCTGGAAACAAGGTACTGCAACAGTGAGCACTAGTCACTGCATTCACAATGCGTTTCATTCTACTGCTCACCGACAGAAAGGAATGGAATGAAATTCAATATAGTAAAACCAAAAAAGAAATATAGCACCACTAAGAGAAAATGATTCACCCATTTTTTTCCCGAAGGAAAATAAACCAAAATAGAGTTGAGAAATTAGTGATAAAAAAGTGGTTTTATATTATGTACAAACTCAGCACAGCACAGTAAGTACAGCCAAGTATTGGTCATGAACCAAAGTATCAGTTGTTGAGAATGACATTTCCATCTCTGGAGTCGTGCCGTTGATTTACTTTGATTTCTGGGGTAAAACCTATTATATATGTAGAACATGAGGTCATCTGACAAAGTTGAGAAAAAAAGTTTGAGAACCACTGTGATAGAATCCCGCGAGAGAAAGAACAGAACAGAACCGATGTGATGCCTGTAAGCCCCTTGCAGCCCACGTGGATCACAGTCGGGAGTCCGTGGAGCTTTGCATGACTCTGCAACTGTGAATGAAGCCTCCACAAAGACTCCACAGAACACAACACCTCACTGCTCCGTCTCTGCCTAAAAGCCCCGGCCGTGCACTTTGCATCGCTGTCACCTTCCCTGCTGTTGCTTTCTCCGCCACTTTCCCCCCACCTTGAGCCCTCCGTGGAAGAGCACTCTTAGTATTACCCTCCGTAAAACCCTGAGATGAGATGGCTGTCCTCATGTGATGTCTCACCGCTGTCCGTTTGAAGATGAAGGTCACTTTGAGCTCTGTGGCTGGTTTCAGACCAGACATTAGTGGCCAAGGCTCAGGGTGGTGAGCGGTGGTTAGCCGGGGCCCGTTGAGCTGCTGTGATTAGACTATAGTGTGTATTTGGGAGGAAGGATGAGCATCGTGTGCGATTGAATCAGTCCCACCTGATAGGAGGTCGGAGCATGAAAAAGGTGAGCCATTTCCGAGCATTATAAAAGCACTGGGTTTAGGGATTAAGGAGGCATTAGGCAACATTATAATGAGATTGGTGAGTGCACCATTCTCATCAGCCTGAAACACAAACTGGGGCTGCAATGCAGCACATTATCTCACCTCTGCTAATTACCTTGCCACGCATTAACAGTCAGAAACCAAAACACACTGGTTGGTGCAACGTAGAAGACGCCGGTAGGACGAGCAGAGAAGGAGGCAGCTCATTGAGAAGGAGGAAACGAGAGAGTTCACAGGGCGAAGAGACGAAAATAGCACATTGCATTTTACTGTAAGTATATTGTCCAGACAATATACTGTGCTCAAGGCATTGTGTCCACGGAATGAGATGGCGATATGGGAGACAGCAGGTCCGTGGCACTTAGCCAGAGGGACAGTTGACGCCATACGCCGTCTCTGTGCGGAGGAGGAATGGACTTGAAGACAGTGCTGCCACTGGACATTTCGGATAGTGAGTCATAACTCAATAAGGTGTTGGATTAAAAACCAGTCACTACAGAAAATGCCCTTTTTTAAAGATCCCAGCATATACAGTATAGAACTGTCTCATAAGAGGCTTGGGATTGTCACATAGTTAACATTGTAAAACAATTGGTTGGGATTTGACAGCAACATTAGTAAGGTAAGCTACCAAATGTAAGCAGCGTTTGAATGATGTGCTGCTAAATACTGCCTTGCTGAAAGGGTAGGGAAGCACAGGCGTCACCTTCGGGACTACAAACGCCATATTGGTGCACACCTACTGAAGGAGGCAAACAACTTACTTTTTTCAACCGTATTTTTCCAATGAGGCCAAACTGATGTGGACATAACTGATGTTCAGGAAACAGAAAGAGGATTGACTTTCAAGGACACACTATTACATACTGCAGCAGAGAACACAAACCTGACATTTCCCTTCCCACGGCCTCAATATAGCAGCTCTGGCTGAAACACAAAAGTAGTCCATTAGGAAACGGACTGCAAAGTTTTCAAATGTGGCTTGGTGCCCTCATCAGTTAGCAGGAGTTTGGTGATGTTTTTTCAAAGGCCAGTACGACTATCAAATAATAGTGGTCGTTGAGATGGGAATAAAGTACCCAAATGAAAAAAAATACCCAATAGCTCTGAAAACCAGATTAAAAGTTACAGGACAAATAATACGTTTGTAAAGTGCCGGAAGCAAGTGTACTGTGTCTAAATTCTGCACACGTGAAGCGTGTTGTGTTTTGTACAAAAAGTATTCTCGTGATCAACTTGACAGCTGCAAAAATACTCTTTTCTTTCTTTTCATTTGTTTCAAGACAGTTGTTTCCACATCAACTCCAGCATTTACTTTATCACAAAGTGTGTCGCGAAGCGATGAAGTGGGGAGTGTCGTTAACATGTCAGCCATAAAAAGGCAATCAGAAAGCTTCATTTTCTGTTTCTGTGGCTTTTATCTGCCATGGCTTTTTAGCATCTTTTCACCTACAAATCTTCCTCCCGCCTGTTCTTTCTTCGTGCCTCCTCATCTTCCTCCACCTCTTCCCATCCCTGTTCCTCCTCCCACTCACTCCTCCTCCTCCTCCTCCTCCGCTTCCTCCACCTCTCATCAGGCTTCATCCTTCACTTCACTCTGGTCTCTCAGTCCTCATCTCCCTCCTACAATCTTTCACACGCCGCCATCTCATTGTGCGTGTGTGCGTGTGTGCATGTGTGCGTGTGTGAGTCACACAGATGCTGCATTGCAGCGCTCTCCACCCAGGGCCGTCTCACCGCAGGAGCCAAAGAGCAGAAGAGGAGCTTAGGAATTTAAGACATTCTTCATCAGATTGTGATTGTGATTGTGTGGGTGTGATTGTGTGTGTGCGCGTTCATGCATGTGTGTACATACTGCACACATACATGTGTACAAATGTGTGAGTTTGCGAGCTGGTGGGACATTTCTGTTATTTCTGTTTACTGGAACAATTCAACATTCAGAGAGATGTGTTTATTCGCTTTCTTGGCGGGAGTAAGATGAGAAGAGTGATGGCACTCTCACGCCGGATTGATACCACTCAACTCATGAGTGGAAGCAATCATCTGATCCAGCCAAGGGCGTGGGTTTGCATATGGTCCCTAGGGACTAGTCACAACCAAAACCTGAACCAATTAACTACATATTAAACATTAATTTCAGAATAAACAAATGCATTGCATGTACTTCTCATGAGGTTATTTTGTAAATTAAGGCATCATCTTGAAATGCATTGAGGAAACTCAGAAGTGCAGATGCAGTGCAGGTTGAGGAAGCAGCAGCTGGACCATCAGGGCTTCAGGTGAGGTCTTACTTCTGGCATTTTGTTAAGAATCATCATGCATTAGCAATGAAATTGAAGGACGTTTGGGGAAGTTGTTAGATCTGCTTGGGTTTGCAGTTTAGGGAAAGGTTTAACCAACCGGATTTGGAGAAACTCGGATGACGCCGTTGAACCGTACTTTGAAATTGACAGGGAGATTCTGATTCTGTGTTCAGTCAGCACCACTAGCTACTGGGGAGCTGTGGGAGTTCTTAGGGAAATGTCAGGAGAGGTAAGAGGTCTCTTATGTTTGTGCCTGTTTGCTCAGCTGGAGCTGAGCAGAGTTTCAGTGCGTTAAAAAGGTTGAGGTCAATCTCCCAGCAGTGGCTGAATAATTATTTTTTTACTATATTTTGGATATAATATACTGTTAGTGTATATTGGCTTTTTTTTAATCAATTTACTTTATCAGTCATTATTATTTATTTGGTGCAGGATAGTGTTTAGTATTAAAACTAAGGTTTTATCACTCTTTACTATGTTAAAATCAGTGCCAAGTTACACAAATGTTAATACATGTTAATTAAGTTTTTTTTAATATGCGGGGTGGCTGGTAGTGTCCCTACCATCGCTGAGACAAACCTAAGCCCAGTAGCATCCAGTGCTACTCAAGACAGCAAATAAAGAAGTTTCCATTAAATTAGTCTATATGCTACAACACTGGCATGGTCAAAAACACATTTATGCACCGAGGTTGTTCTTTCACTGCAGAAGAAGAAACTGTACCATCATGTAAAAAACTAAGCTAAAGTAGTTCAAAACGATCCGTGACATATTCTTTTGTCAATAGATCCTCACAGTGAAATACAAAAGAGATTACCTAAAAGTGTCAGATTGATGTGTTGAACAGTGTTCAGTCTTCATGCAGCATTCTTTGCCTGTATACCTTCCTGAAACCTGAAATGGAGCAGAGCTCATCAAAAGAAGGCCTCATTAGAGCAGCCTTCAGTGGAGAGGTGGGGCGAAGGTGAAGCTGTAAATGCAGCTTCAAAGGCTTTTCATCTGACAAATATGCTCGCACAGGATTTATTTTGAATGAAGGTAATTTTTTTTTTTAAAAGACGTTGAACAGCATAAAATAATGCCTCCTAGCAGGTTAAATTCAGGAATTATGTCATTAGTACTGAATGGGCCGACTTTTTTTCTGTTTAAAGGATCCATATTCTTCTTTATCAACAACTTGGAAACCAGCGAAGGACGTCACAGCCGTCTCTGTCACTATCTCGTTTTCGGACGGCGATACAGCCCGTTGTTACACTTTGAAGCTGAAATTTCTTCTTGTTTAGAAGAGCACTCGTTGTTGTAACTGTTGGGTTGACGTGAATCGATAATGGCACGAATCAACTGGCATTATTCAGAGAAGACAGATGCACGTTGTGACCAACAACCCCCCCATGTCGTACTGACAGCTTAGCGAGCAGAGATCACGGTTGGGGGAGAGAAGGGAAGATGGAATCACAACCAGGAATTGATGTGTGCCAATTTCCGTCTCGGTTCCCGAAGCTTTCAGCCCTACACATTATTTTTCTGATTGCCCATTCTTGCTGCTTTTCTCTCAAACGCACTCATTCCACACCAGATGTCCTCTAGATACAAGTGTTGGGGGTTCTCACCAAACGCGCTCTTGTGTTTCACTTGTTCTCAGTTAGCAAATTATGGAGGATTTCTTTCACGTTATTTAAACACTTGTGTATGTAGCATATAATCAATCTATAATATATAATCATTCAGAAAATCAAGTAGCTTCCTCAGGACGGCTACAATTAGTCTCTCTTCAGATGCAAAGGTTTCTACAGACAAATGTGCTGTTCCTGACCCTCACACATACACGCAAATGATGGCAGGAACAAATAAAAACACCTGAACGTCTGTCTTTGTACAACCGCAGGAAACAAAGAGAAGCCATGAGAGCGTGACTGCCTTTCAGCAGGCCTCGGTGCAGATCATCTCACCAAAGCAGCTCTTCTCTTCCCACTCAGTACCCACTTCCCACTCACTGCTCCTAGCAGCCCGCACCCGCATGTACATCCACCCACACAGCCATTTCATCTGCAGAGGTAACAGGGCCTTCTTTCTGCGTCCCCGTTTCGCTCTTTCTGACAGGTATTCACCGCATCTCAGAATTTTAGGATAAATGATACTGAACGGGCTTACAAATAACACCGTGTGAAGTTTTGGTCAATGCCTTGTTTCTTATGATCATATCTCAAGCTAGGAGTTCATCAAGAGGTGGACAAGGAGTCCTAAATGGTCATTCATGCCTTTACGGGAGAGAGAGCGAGAGAGAGAGCACATCTTGTCGACAGGCATGCTTAATTACCTGGTTAGGTGATCCGAGACTCGATGATGATTCAAGCTGGATGCAAAAAAATCTCCAGATATCACGGGTTTGACGTCAGGATAGTCAGAGGAGTACTGGAGTCCAAGGGGGACAGCCTCCCGGTCACACCTGTACATTAGGGAGAAGCACAATGACCCTTTTTTGTTTGTCCATATCTACATTTTACCAATGATTTTACTCCTCGTTCAGGCAACAACGCGGCTGATCACACAAAAAGGAGCGAGTTTGTTACGATTTGCAGACTCTGCGTGAGTAGCTCCACACAGAAGAGGCAGAGCAAACTGTACAATTCAATCGCACAAACCACAGCCTCCGGAATGACCCTTCAGATGAATAAAACACCTCGCTAAAAAATACCGTGACCATAGAGGTAGGAGTCAGGGTGGGACGGTTGTGCTGATGTAAGCTGTGGGCACCTAACAGATTGACGACATATTAATGAATTAATCAATGATCTGGTGTATTGCTAATTTGCATATAGCGTCCTTCAGTTTGACTCCAACATTTGCTGTTTAAGTACTGAACCCAGATGGAGGCGCAGTGACGTGGTGGAATTGCTAATAATTATATAAACAATGATGGGCACAAACAAATTACCAATTGTATTTTATATTAAGACAAGCTCTACAAATCCACAGCAAACTGCAGCTTAAAAGAAGAGGAAGAAAGAAATCAGCTAACATTAGCGACACGCTAATGAATTTTATAAACTCCACAACAATGCTGAATTAATAACATAATTAAATTCACGCTTACACTATTCTCCCTACTTAGATAGATACTCAAGCTCATTATGTTTCTAATAACTGCCACAAAAAATTGTTCTTTTTGCTCAACGGACCCAAAATTAATTATTTTAAATAAAAAGGCATTTGAAATTTTCTGTATTTTCAGATCTCATATGAGGGTTTTCCTCCAGAACACCTGCAGGCACAAAGCGAGGTAATACCTGCAGGCCGAAGCTGCACATCTGTTCAGCATCCAACGCATTCGTTTTCCCTCGAGCAGCACTGAGGGCTGCAAGCAGACCAGAAAAATATACTTACCTTGAAATGATTTGAGAACATAACAGATGAAAGTGTTGCTTAACTTCCAATGAAAACATTTTCAAAAATATTTTCAAAAAAAGTGAAAAAATACAAGCTCGAAAAATGTTTTGACAGAGAAAATGAAATATTTTTGGAAAGAGACTTCCAGACAGACAGAAAAGTATCTACTACTCTTTCTACACTGTATGGATGACTCACCACCACCACAGCCATGACAAACCAGCGGCCTTTCACCTCCATTTGAAAAGAACATTTCTAAAAAGGCAAAGAAAAGCCTCTCATCTCGTCTCATCGTCTTTGACAAATGCTGAAAAACAAATTTCGCAGTAAGAAAATTACCTCTTCTCTCG